GGATATAAAGGATCCTGAAGTTGAGATTCAGTGTATAAATTAGTCTCTTTAGAGAGGATTTTTACTATGAAATCGCTAAAAAAGAGCTTAAAAAAGCCTAATTCTGATAAACCTGTGTATTGTAAAGCTCCAGTTCGATTTTGAACGTAATTAGTCTCAAAATGAGGGAGTTCTGTTGAAATGAGTGTTAGTGGTTCATTTGCGCATTCTGGCGCAGGTGCTATTACTGCTAAGGCTTGATCGACATTATTTCGATCAACTTTTTTTGGGTCAATTCTGCATCTTTTTCGCTGATTGTTATTTTGTAGTAATTGCGGAGGTGAGTTATCTCTGTATCTCAGTGGAATTTGTGTATCTCGACGTGGTCGTAGCATTGGAGGTGGTTGAAAATTCATTTTAAAAACCAGCTGCGGAAAGCTATGGCGATCAAATGCGGCTCAAAAACCTTATTTTACGCCAAGTACGCTAATAGGCACACCCAGGGACGGAGGGGATAATCCTCGCAGAATCCAAGGGGCAAGGAAGGGGTCACACGCCAAGCATTTGCCCCTGAGAATGCAACGGTTATTATCCCCCTCTAGGGACAACCCGAAAGACGACTTTAGATTCGATATCTGCCATAAATAGTCATCAGATACACCTTCTAGCTGTGCCTAGGCTGACGTTCACTCAACCCCTTTTCGTCCGGGCACCGACACATTCCTTCACCTGGCACTTCTAGACGGGGAGGATACGATCCTCTTGGGCCTCGGGCGCGGCGTGCTTTAGCGTGGCGTCCCTGCCCACTTCGACATCTTTGCTTCACATAGACCACCCGATGCTCAGACAGGTACTACGACCAGGCAACTGGTCTTGTCAGAACTCGTTTACCAGCCATGTCCTCACTGCACGCACTGCATGTCACAGCTGTTCTGGACACCAAGACAGACTTTGGAACTCGGCTCGTACAATTTTGAAGACGACAATCTCATTTTCTTGTGAGCTACTACATCGGATATGCACACGTTATCGAGGGATTTTACTTTGCACAATGAGTCTATCTGCCTTCTGTGCTTCTGTCCCACTCAAATTTTTCTCTGCAGACGTGACAAGCAATGCACCATCGAACATTATCCATCATTCATTCGCGGCCTTGCAAGAATCAAGAGCGGCTGGTTGTGAGTTCTGTCAATTGCTTCTCCAGGCCTGAAAAACACAGAGCGGCGACGGAGCACACGCTCGCTTATCAGAGCTTTGCTCGAGAAAGGGATTGGTGACCCTGGCAACTACGAAGTTCGATGGCCAGCTTATCCAGATTGATTAGAAGGAGGTGGGAGGCTTGAGGGGTAAAGTTGCGCCGCCAGAGTGGTGTAGGACCCATTCTCAACCCAAATATGGCGAAGCTGTTGTTGATGCTGATTCAAGAAGGCGAACTAAGCCCTTCCGATTCAGGAGTCTACCCGGACAAGGAGATGCCCATCATCAACTACTGCTAAGACGTTTGCGAGAGCCACCATCCCGAATGTTCTAGCAAGCAGTCCAAATTCCTGCCCACAAGACTTGTTGACGTGGGCAGTTTCGAGGATCAAGAGCCTCGTCTTGTTTTTGCATTGGATCTAGACTTCACAGGTGGGTCAATCGAGCACCGCAGCTCGCCGCTATCTCGCACTGAGCCATTGTTGGGGTGCAGAGATGCCGCCAACTGCAACCACTACCATGGCCACAATATCTGAACGTCTTCAGAACTTTTGCTGATTTTATCAACATGGCTAGGAGGATGCGTGTCCAATATGTATGGATAGATGCCCTCTGCATTATCCGAGATTCGAAAGAGACTGGGAGAACGACAGCTCAGATGGTATCCCTACACTCTAATGCTTACTGCACCATCGCTGCTTCATCCTCAGCGGATGGTACAGGCGGCTGTCACGTGGATCCAGACTCTGGACCGTATGGTCCTGTAATTCTCTCCATTTCGGACACGGATGGAGACCGCCGTATAACCATTCAGAAAGTCCGCGTCTTCTGCTCAACTGAAAACCCAGTCGTAAACATTTTACAACAGGATCCCCTCAACGGTCGAGCTTGGACCTTCCAAGAGCGCGAGCTCTCAAACCGAGTAATGCACGTTTCACAAGATTCCATCCGCTGGGAGTGTCGAACTCTGAAAGCGAGCCTGCAGTTCCCGTGGCAAGATCCGAACGCGTTCAACGGTAATCTACGCACTTTCGATATAGAACAGGTGTCGCCTTTGAGCGCAGACTAGCAGCTTAACGACCGCTAGTAAAAAGAAAAACATGAAGAAGCATGGTTCGAAGCCGTGTATAGGGTACACTGGCCGCGCACTCAGCAAGTAATCGGACGTGATTCCTGTCTTCTCCGCCATAGCCCGCACAGTCCAATCTCAGACAAGGGATCGCTATCTCGCCGGCGTCTGGCACTCCAACCAGATCCACTGCCTCTGCTGGTCTAGTGGCCGGCATCCGACCGGCAGATCTCCCATCTTCAAGCCGGACAACCCCTCACCAGTCCACCACAGCCGACCTTCCGAGTACCTCGCCCCCTCCTGGTCCTGGGCCAGCATCAAAGGCCGAGTCCGCTACGAGTGGTGGATCTTCCACGCCCTAGACCCCGACCACCCAACGCCGCGAGCAGAGGTGTTCATCCCGCGAACCCTCGACGCAACCACCATCCCCGTGGGACTCGACGAGTACGGCCAGCTCAAAGAAGGCTGCTTTATCCGATTAGCCGGAAAGATGAAGCCAGCCTTCACCCGCGGCGAAGGCTTCCAGCGCCAGGACTGCCAAGGTCTCTACGATGTCCAGGAGGCCCAGACCCGCGAGATCGGCATGATCAAGTATGATATCCCTTCAGACGCGCCGCAGGGAGTGGTCAGGGCGGTCTTTTGCTTGTGCGTGCTTCCCCGCGCGGAACGTGATGGTGATTCGGTCGGGCTGGCGCTGGTACCGACGGGGAGGTTGGATGAGTTCACAAGGGTTGGACTGGTCTCCGCGGTCCAGCTGGCTTGGCACAAGAGGGTGCGGTCGAGTGTCAGATCAACATCGTTTAGGTATGTAAACGTAGGGGCTCACAATCCTCAAAAGGCAACATCATCTTCTGACCCCCGGAGATGGCCCCCGCCCCGCCTCTGAAAACTTTTTAAAGCTAAGTTACGTCTTACTTGGGCATCTATAGGTAGAGATTCATTCATTCATTCACCCCTTACGTGCTGCTCTCCCCCGTACCACCACCATCGCGATCAAGTTTCATGATGATAAGATGATAAACAGTCTGAATGAGATAGATCATCATCTCCACGATCCCCCAATCTTTCTTTTTCTGTTGTTGGAGTTTTCTAAAATTCCAGGGAGATGCGATCGACCCCTATTTCCCCCTCCGGCTATCCCCGGTCCTCTCGATGCCGCTGCTCCTCGAAACCCCAAATCCCTGATCCTAGGTCGTGTTGACGATGTGATGTTGCCCCCTCCCTCTTTTTTTCCTGGAGTAGGAGGAGGACTTGTGTTGCGGGAGGATGGATGTCGTTTTGGGGTTGATGATGACGACGACGACGACGATGAGAAGGGGGAGAAGGAAGGGGGGATAGCCAAGGCAGAGAGGAGGAGAGCCTTGTCACAACCTCCAAAAAATATTTCACCTCACCTTTGGGGTTATCCCAAGTTGCATTCGTCGCGTCGGGCTATACATACCTGTAACTACGCTCCGACGGCGCTGTTGGTACCATCGATGGCAGGGGGGCGGTGGGGGTGCGGCGTTCGCAGCCCGATGCGATGAGCAATTTATTCGACAAAGGTGTCAGTGAGGGCGATTCGAGCGCTAACATTTCCGATATCAACAGAGTGACTGACTGTATCATCTCACCTCGACCGTTCAAGTAAAAAGCAGCCAAGTCACATCTCTATCATCGATTCCCGAGTCCGCTTATTTCCTCTGCCTTCCAATAAGCTAGACAAGCAACGCGATGCAGGACCATTAGTATGGGGGAACAGAGCACAGCGATACTAATACTGGTAGTATCAGTCTACCACCTCCGCCCATAAACCGCGTGCTCCCTCCCCGTCTTGGCCTTCTGAATCCCGTTCCCACGCACCGCATCGACATCACCACCCGCAGCACTGTCATTCTCCAGCAGCACCCTCCTTCCCCCCGCCCTACCCAGATCCAAGCCGACGCCCACCCCGTCAGCCTCGGCATGAGCAGTGCCATGCTCGGCATCGTGTCTGAACAGCTTGAGCATATCCTCCATGGTCAGCTTGGCGGCGGCGGTCTTGCCCTCGATGGTCGCGTCGGCGAGCTGGCGTTTCTTGTCCTGCAGATCCAAGATGCGTTCCTCGACCGTGTCCTTGACGCTGAGCTTGTACACGACCACGTCTTGGGTCTGGTTGAGCCGGTGCACGCGGTCGATGGCTTGTTCTTCTACAAACTAAAGAAATCACAAACAAATTAAAAACGAAATTAGCCCCCCGGCTTGAACTGGTTTGGGGGGGGGGAATGGGAGGGGAGAGAGAGAGAGAGAGAGGCTGACGTACCGGATTCCAAAACGGCTCTAGAATCACGACTCGGCTTGCCGCGGTGAGATTTAGGCCCAGTGAGCCGGCACGGAGACTGCAGAGGAGGATGCGGGTTTTGGCATGGGTGCGCAGTCGTTCGAGACTGGCTTCGCGGAGGTCGTTGCGCATCTGGCCGTCGTAGCGGGTGAAGGTGAGGCCGTCGCGGCGGAGGAAGGGCTCGATCAGGTCGAGCATCGAGGTGAAGAAGGAGAAGATGATGTATTTGTGGGTGGCGGAGTCGCGGTGCAGGATTCGGAGGAGGTGGCGGATCTTGGTCGAGATGATCGGAGATTGAACGTCGCCCTGGTCATCGCTGGAAACGTCTTCGTCGTCTTCGTCATCCTCGTCGTTTCCATCGCTGGTTGAGCTGTTGTTTTCGTCTTCGTTCTCAGAAGCCTGTTCCTCGTCGTCACTTATGAGGTTTACTGGCTTCTGTTTTCGACGAACCGAGCGGGCTTCGTTCTCAGAGTCAGACGCGATCCATTCACCACCCCCTTCAGCATCCTCGTCATCAGAACCACCAGCCCTGCCTAGGTCGGAGACGTTCTGTTGCTTCTCGGGTACGATCCACTCGCCTTCGTCCTCTTCATCGTCGCTGTCCGTAATAACATTTCTCCGGGGTTTTCTCTGTGCTCTCTCTTGCTTTTGAGCCCGCCTCAAGGACTTTTTCTCTTTCTTCCTTCTCCGCTCTTCAACAGCGTGCTGCCTAATCTTATCGTCTTCTAGATCAGCTTCACACTCGGCACATCTGATCGCGCCAGCCGCTGAATGTTTCGAAGACAGCTCGATCTGGCAGACGTCGCATCTCTTGGTGGCCACACTCAAGCCTCCCAGCATGGCAGAAATTGAGTCCATATCATCCTCCTTGACAGCCTTTTTCCTGCCTGGTGTCTGATTGCCACTTCCGTTGACGAAAGCGTCTGCCTCCTTGGCCAGATCGCCCTTGATCAAGTTCGCATGATTACACGCTTGACGTAAACGCAACAGCAAGACGAGTGCAGAAGCATAGCTCATCTTGTTCCCCGCCATCATTTGTTCGAGACTTTTGTCGGTCCTCGATTCTAGCCGTTCATAAAACCCTCGCTCCCGAGGTGTGAACTCGGCTTCAACCTTCTCGACTGTTCTTTTGACGATCTTGAACCCGTTGGATTTTTCACCTTCCTTTACCGCGCCACCACTTCTAAGTGCGCCCTCCTGTTTCAGGATGTCTTTGGTTCTTCGCTTCATGAAAGCCTTGAGATAGACCTGTAGACGTCTGATTGCCAGTCCTCCTCTCCCATTGTTCATGGGACGGGTGATCTGTTCCCTCCAGTTGTTGAGATCATCGTAAGGCCTGATGCGTAGGAAGTGAATCAAGCTCTGTAGCTCGTCGAGATTATTCTGCATCGGTGTTCCGGTCAAGCACCAACGGTACTCGGAGTTCAGGGCGCAAGCTGCTTTGGTAGCTTTGGCGTTTCTGTTTTTGATGGAATGTGCTTCGTCCAGAATGACGCGGTACCAGTTGATGCCAAAACAGCCAACCTTGAGGTTGTCCCCGGATGAGCCATGCTCCGAGACAAGAGTGTGGTATGTAGTAATCACGACATCATATTTCCTCAAGTCTTTGAAGCTCTTCGCTCGTTGAGGGCCATGATGGACGCAGACACGAAGAGTGTGGGTGTCTTCAACACGATCTCGGATTTCTCCTTCCCATTGCTTGATCAAGGCCAGTGGCGCCACAACCAATGTACCTTTGTCGAGATTGGCTGGAAGCTTCCTCTTGTTGTCAGACCTCTCCGACTCCGTGGCTGAGGGTTTTGGATTTGTCAACATGAGGGCAATTGATTGGATGGTTTTGCCCAGGCCCATATCGTCTGCCAGAATGCCACCTCTGGGGAAAACACCTCTTGTCTTCTTTGTACCCAGCTCCTTGTCCCGCATCCAATTGACCCCTTCAACCTGATGCGGTAAAAGTTTGACCTTCAGCCCCTCTACAGTACCGTCATCTTCCTCGGCTTCCTCGTCCTCAGCCGCGTCTGCCTCTTTTTCAGCACCTTCGACGTTTAATCCCTCCAGCTTTGCGACTAGACCGTCTGTCACTTGTTTCTTCCTCTGCCGTGTGCGTGGTTTGTCATCTTCGTCCTCAAAAGCGCCTTCAAGAAGCGCTTTGATATCGTCCGTAGCTTTCCCGGAATCCATGTACATAGGTGGATCTGCTGCTCCAAACCTATCATGGAACAGATCATTGTTCGTAGCCATGCCAATTGTATTAGCAGTCAAGTCGATGAAATTGCTGATCGGCTTGGGAAGGATGGGCTGCGAAGAGAAGATTGGAGGTTGGGCTGGTCTGGGCGCAAACGCTGGCTGGTTAGCTGGGCGTGGGATCTCAACGAAATCATCATCGCTGTTGGGTACAGGAGCTTGTAGATCCTGTTGATGGCTGTTCATGGTATTTCTTGCTTGTGATAGAGGGTTGGCGGCTGGCTTCACAGGCTTTCTGGAGGGTATGAATAGCTCGGAGTATTTTTCTTTAGGCTTGGCGTGATACGGAGGCGAAGTTTTGGTCTGCTGATCAAAGGACGAGGGGTGAAAAGAAGGATTGATCACCGGGGAGTAGAGCGATTGATCAGAAAATGGAAGGGAAGTCGGCTGGCTAGGTGGAGCCTGTTGAGGTCTGGTTGAGAAGGATTGAGGAATTAGACGAAGCGGTGATGGGACTCCGAATTGCGGTTCATCGGAGGCAGCTGGCTTCGACATAGTACTCCGCTGCCTCGGTACTGGCTTCTGAGATATCAGGTTTTGTTTTGCAGGGACGAGCGGCGCCTTGGGTGGCTCCTGCTCGCGGACCATGGCGAAGGGATGTCTGTGTTGGTCAAAATCTGAAAGAGAGGGTTAGGTTAACAGACCATAGGATGCTGGGTTAAAGCACATACTCGAAGATATTCTTGAACTAAATCGCAGGTCTTTTTCCAAGACACAATGATGACAATCTCTATTCGCTACCAATAGGTAAAAGTGGATGCGGCTTGTTTACTTTCGCTGCTGGAGATAACGCACGGACCAAGGGGCAGATGCCAAGAGATAGATAGATGCCAAGGGACAAGCATCTTCAGCCTTGCGGTGCGGGGACAGTGCCAAGCCTTGCCCTTCCTAAATACGGAGTAGCATCTACTATAGTACGTACGTAGTATGATCTACTGCTAGTAAAGTACTAATTCCAACTGTATGCATTTGATGGATTACAGGTAAAGGCCTTGGTGCATGTCTGCTGGCTTTGAGATAAGAGATCAGCTATTATTCAAACCACTGCGTCATGCGACAAACGATAGACACTAAATGAGAAACAATCAACACTCAACCCATCATGCCCTCTCCCACCAGATCCGCCTTCCTCTCCCCCCAGATCCGCCTTCCTCTCCCCGTCTGACCTCGAATCCTTCACCGCCCACCTCCAACGCTCCCAACGCATCGTCGCCGTCCCCGGCGCCGGTCTCTCTGCCTCATCCGGTCTGCCCACTTTCCGCGGCGCTGGTGGCCTCTGGCGCAATTACAATGCCACTTCGCTCGCGACCCCGGGAGCCTTCCGCTCCGACCCAGGCCTTGTCTGGATGTTCTATTCTTACCGGAGACACATGTCACTGAACGCGAAACCCAATCCAGCCCACTACGCGCTGGCGGAGCTGGCGAGGAGGAAGCCCGAATTCTTGACTCTCTCCCAGAATGTGGATGGGCTGTCGCCGAGGGCAGGGCATCCAGCAGACCAGGTCAAGCTGCTGCACGGAAGCCTCTTCGATGTGAAATGCGAGGACGAATCGTGTGGCTATATCCGTCGAGACGACTTCGACGACCCAATTGTTCCGGCTCTTGCCATACCAGCAGACGAGTCAAGCATGGCAGAACAATCCAAGGCGCGACCAGACCAAGCTCTTCAAGCCGCAATGGCAAGGAAAGCCGCCCTAATAAAAGGCCTCGACATTTCCGACGCCAGTATCCCCATTCCCACCATCCCACGCAGCTCTCTCCCGCACTGTCCCAAATGCAAGACCTCCCTCCTCCGGCCCGGCGTAGTCTGGTTCGGCGAGATGTTGCCCGAAGCCGTCCTCTCGGATATCGACGCTTACTTTGATGAAGTCGACCCCAAGCCCCAGGCCGAGGCCGGAAACAAAGGCCATATGCAACCGAAGAAAGTCGATCTGTGCCTCGTCATAGGCACCAGCTCCCAGGTCTATCCCGCAGCAGGCTATGCATCTCAGGCTCGATCGATGGGCGCCCGCGTGGCGGTGATAAACACAGATCCATCCGATGCTCGAGATCTGCAGGAGGGAGATTGGTTCTTCAAAGGCGATGCGGCGGATATTGTGCCAGAGATCCTGAAGAGTGTGATTGGGGAACCAAAGGCTTCTGAGGTTGGCAAGGCGGGGTGAAGTTTGCATGCACGCACGACTGCAGGCCTTTTAATGACTCTTGGTTCCTGTTGTCGTGTCTAGCGCACCACGTTCCTGGTAAATAACTTACCACGTGCAGTGATAGCAGCCGTACCGATCAGGCCTCATCTCAAGCCGCAAGGCCAAGTACAAGACGAGTCATGGGGAGGTTCAAGAAGAGCGTCCTGCTCCCTCTTCTCAACCAAATCAAACACAGTCACCCCCGTTCAACACAGACTGGCTGCACCAGCGCCAGCTACCCACCAAAACGAGAGAAGCACCCAAGCAAACCCCTTATAACAGGGCGTCAAATAATCATAGTAATCACATAACACCATAATCAACGTTCCCCAAAAACAGAACCAACAAACCCAGCTAGTACATCAATGGTAAAACTGAAAGATGAGGAAGTCCCGAGCTTTTCAGTTCTAAGTGGATTGGGAGGAGAGAACTCTTAACATCCAAATCATGACATGATCCCAGGTACTTACCTTGCAAGAGAACCGTACTCCGTAGTATGATAGTAAATTAAAACAAAAGAGCGAGGAGACAATGCCCGAAGAGGATAGTATACCGTATAATATCTTATCTAGTAATTATATCATTCCGTCCGTCATCCAGAGAAGGAGAGGAGAGGAGAAGATGGAGGTGCTTGGAAGCATTTGCATTTGCATTTGCATCTGTGAGTGAGCAGTTCTGGGGAGGTCTTCCTCCCTATCTCTCACACATCTATGTTCATACTCCCCGCCGGATTCCATAAGGTTGGTTGCTGACTGTCTATCTACCGATGACCCCTTACAACTTTTGGCGATGCATGAGGAGAAAAGCCCCTCCCCAACCTCAACGAGTGTTTTGTCGTCGTCCAAGAGGAAGACATAAAGCACATTACCCCTGAGCACCAGCGCTAAACAGGAAAACCCATCCATCCCACCCAACCTCCATGCAAGCGTGCACAACACGATACAAACGACAATGATGGTTGACCCATCACAGAAAGATATCATCAGCCTCTTCCCCTAGCTTGCATCAACCTCAATCTCCTCTCCTCGTCTTGAATCTCTCCCATTGTTCGTTCATGCATATTTCCCGACATGCCGTTCCTTCCCGTCCTTCCCGGTTCGTGTGGATTGCCAGTAGTGAACAGCAAAGATCCACCTCTCGGCGACGACGTCCCTGGACCTGGGATACCGGCAATGGGTCCTCTCCCACGACTGCTTGATGCTTGCTCCGCCAACACAGACGCGGCGTTCGGCGACGCAGACAGAGATGTCGCAGCATCATACGTGGGAAGATCGGATCCCGAGTAAGGCGTTCGCGCTGAGGCCCGGACGGCTGTCGAGTATGACGGGATACGAGAGAGATATTCAACCTCTAGATATTGGGGCCCCGGAGTTTGTGTGCCTGTTGGCATGGTAATATAGTCTTCGTCGCTGGTTCTTCGGGAGAAGTTGTCTTCACTGACCAGTGAGGAGCGGTCTTGTCCCGGTGTAACGGAACGCGATCGAGTTGGACTGCTTCGAGAATGCGATCTTCTTGACGAGCACCCCCTTGAAAAGTAGTCCCCCTGGTGGACGCTGTTTGTGGCCAGAGGCCGTCTCAAGGAATCAGGACCAGGTTCAGGCAGACTTTCAGGGGTTGGGGGAGCAGGTCTGGACCTGAGATTCTGTAACCTGTGCCTCAGCGCTGCTGCGGAGACATCGCCAGATGTGATGCTGGAGGATGGAACTTCGGTCCCACCTGGCATTACTGTATCTAGTGAGGAAAGATTTTCGGAAGACAGATTCCGCGAGTGACTCCCAAACGGAGTGCTGGGAATCGAAAAGTTGCCTGGTGTACTGTAGCCACTGAAATCCACGTCCGAATACATCTGATCAAGCTGGTGATCTCTGTATAGTGGCGGGACTGCATGTGAGATGTCAGTCTCGATCGCACGACGAGCAGCTACTGGTGTTTGGTCGACCAGCTCGTTGTTTTCGTTGAGGGCGAGGGATGGAGAGATGTAAAGTGAGACTGGAAGTGTTGCTCTAAGTTCCGAGGTATGATCGTCAGGATTGTGTAATAGAACGTTGAATTTGAGCTTATGCCTGATCTTAATGCCCCTCGTTTCTGCATCTTGCATGCATTTGGTCAATGATTTGGGGAGCTCAAGGTGTCTGGAGAACTTGTAGCCTTCAGCCTCTTCGTCAAGGATCTCCGGGTCCTCAGGAACCGTGTACTCGTCGTCGGCAACAACCCTGCTAGTTCTGTGATGGTTCAGAAAGGTGGAAACAGCTTCAGGGTTGAGGTTGAATTCCTGCGTCTCCACCACCTGGGTTGTGATGTTGCCTATTTTGAGGCCTTTGAGCAGTGATACCAAGCGGAATTCGACCGACACAGATGTTCCGTATATCACGGCTTTGCTCGGTGTACTGATTGAGTATTCAATCTTGTTCGGCCATACATTCGCGACAGTCTGCACCTGATCAGATCCATGACATCTTATAACAACTGTTGGTCTTTACCATAGCATGTGCCAATTCCAGCGCACTAGAGTCCAACGTCCTAATAATCCTCAAGGGTTTTCGGATCACTATATCTTTTGAGATTCTTCGCCCAATTTCTGCCTTGAATCGGTACATGACGAATGAATCTGACAAACCCTCGACACTCTCGGGCAAGGAACCTTCGAGGACAATGTCGAATGGGTACTCATAGTTGTCTGCCTCCAAGGTCTCGGTCTTGTTCTTCCCGGCATCTCGGAACGTCCAGGTCTTTTCGAAGAAGGTCCGTTCCTTTGCACTCTTCTTAGACGAGCTAGTTGAGTTACGATTCCTGTTGGAGGGTGAGCAGAGATGCCTCAAGATGGATGTAGCCATGGTGTGGAGACTGACGCAACCTTAGAGACTCCTGTCAGGGTCAACCTGATGTGTTTGGTTGTAAGGCGCTCGCTAAGACACAAGACCAGCTTGCCGCGGAGGTGGGCGCTCGCAGCCTCCTCTTCGTTGCCGCGGAATACAATGTACTCATCGTCGAGCCTGGCCAATCGTCAGCATTCAATGGGAATATTGGTTGCCGTTAGTATTGGCCAGATGTACCTGATATCGAAGAACTTTGCGCTATTACTACTTCCCGCCCCCGTAAGGAAGCTGAGGGCCATGGATTGTAGTCATAGATTGGAACACAGGGAAGATATGACACAAGGCAGACGATAGCAGATTGATGGAGAGTGCTGAGAAGCAATCCACCCGGAACGGAAGGGAAGGGAAGCGAAGGAAGAATGCGAAAGAAATGCTTATTCGCAACAGATGGTGGTGAATGACTCAGGATGCAGATGACCGGAGTACGAGATGCAGGTTGGCTGCGTGGCCAAAGATAGACAGCGATAAGTGGTGAATTAGTCCTTTGATCAGCCCTTCGGCCCCTGCAGCTGGGGATGGAGAGCACTAAATAGTTAAGTGATGTGACATGCTTGCGCTTGCCTAGTGGGATACGCCATCGCATTGGTGCCCTTGACCAGGGGCGGATTGATGACGGTCGATCTGCCGAGCCAGGACTTTCTCGGACGGCACACTATGTAACTAGGCTCTGTACTACGTAAGGTTGCCTTAATCAAGCCCTTGTTTGACTATGCGTTTCGCTTTTACTACTCAACGTACCATCATTGTTCCAGCCATGATCTGAATACACACGTATTACCTCTATGTTATCAATGGTCACTATTCCACGAGCGCGGCATCAGTTCCTCGATAACAACCCACTTTTGATCAAGACAACAACAGAATGCTTACTGTAAGAGTCGGATTGCGGCAGTCAGGGAACGGGAGGTGAACAGATAGCCTCGGGCTGTCTCACATATTGGCTGGCCCACGCCGCTCTCTCATGTCAAAGATAATTACATCGCCAGTGACAAGGAATAAAAATAAACCTAAGGCCTTGACCGACCTGTGGAGATTTAAAGAGAGACCATCTAAGAAAATAGCTTTCTTTGGTAGAGATCACTTGCTCGAAAGGCCTCAAATAATTGCGATTGCTCGACAGAGACTCTGAGGAAGCACCAATGAGGTACCTCAATATTGTACACTTGTTTTGAAATTTCTCGTATGCTGTTAGTCTGTGAACGTTGAAAGGTTGCTGATCCAAAAATATCCCTGTCCCTAACCGATTGCTTCAGCAACTGCTTTCTTCCTAAGATGCTTTGATTCCCGAAAGCGTAATCTGACTGCCATTGACGCCTTCTCTCGGTCGATCCCACGTGCGAATGTGCCCTGTACACACGTCAATCTCAGTGCCAGGCGCACAGCATAAGATACAGGTTAGTACCTTCTTGACATGAAGTGATGATGCAGTCTTTCTCGAATCCCAGCCAACAGAGCGGGTGGTCGTCAATCGTCTTGCTCTATAGCACCCCGTTTGTCAGCAGTCGGAACGCAAAGAACCCAGATCTTAACCCGTCGGCAATTGACAGCTGAAGACCGGTTCCGAAGGCAAGGCTCGGCCCACTTACCATGACAGGAGGGAGCTGCGCGGTCCTTGCGCGAGGCTCAACCGGGTGGTACAGGACCTCGTCACTTGCCGGGTCCCCATAGAATAGCCGGTTTGAGTCGGATCGGAGTCGTGGGAGGGTGACGACGCTGCCCGTTCTCTGTCTCTGGAGCGATATTGATTGAGCCGATATGCTGCCTCGTTGCCTTGCGATATGCGTCTATCCCTTTTGTCAGTCGCGAAACGGCTTTCGGTTAAGTGAAAGGAAGCAGTTGAATGGCTTACCGCCTTGGGCCGATGCAGCATGCCAACGCTGAAATCCCACAGCAATAGTTTGCAATCATCCCCAACGCTTCCGAATCGGTAATTTTTCTCATCGCAACGCCAAGGGTCAAATGCAACTGCTGTGACCCAAGAATGGTGTCCTTGACATCGTGCGACAATCTGTCGCTCGTTCAGCGACCAGATGGACACTAGATCGTCTTGTCCTCCAGTCAAAATGTACTTGCCATCTGGAGACCAGCACACACAGATGAAGCCACCATAGTATGACGGATAGATATCGATCAACCTGTATCAGTTAGACGCTCATGTCTCCATGGTGTCAATTGCCTCAAGTGCTTACCTTTCCTTTAGATAGTCGATGACTCTCAAGCATCCGTCCTCTGAAACCACTGCAAGATGCCTGCAATCTGGGCTGAACTCGAACTGATTGATTCGGTGACCAGACACACTCCAGCATGCCACAGGATTCGTCTTCTGATTTTTGGAGTTGACGCTCTTGATGACATTCAGTACAGTGTTGTCCTCGTTGATGAAAACGTTGTTCTCTTCCTGCATCACCTCGTCGGCGAAAAAAGGTGCATCTTCTTTTTCCTTGTCATATACCACGAGGGTTCCGTCGATGTGCGAGGCAAGGAACAGGCTCTCGGAGCTTGGAATCCATTTGACATGCGACACACCGCAACTGTTGATAACACCATTCTTGTTGATCCGGGCATACTTTTGTGACATTGGTTCATACCATAAGATGTCTCCTGCGGACGAGCCCAAGACAACATCAATATGGGCAGAATCTCTGGTGCGTGTGTTGACATCGTGACATAGCATGTGCGCTTTTGTGAAGAGTATCTTTGCCAAAGGCTCTGCCTTCAGATCCGAGGATAGATCGAGCCATTCAAAAGCTCGGTTGATGTTGGCGAATGCATACAAACCGCTCGGGTTTCGCTCATTCAACCGTTTTGTTAATGCATCATGTGGTATGACACGTGAGACAAAAGAGGAATTGCTCTTGACGATATTGTTTTTGGGTTTCCTCCGCTTCACCGCCTCCTTCCCGTTAGCTGCAAGTAGAGCGACATTGCCCTCCCCAAATGCCGGTGTGGAATTATTGCTCCCTTCCGTAGACAGGCGTCCGGCAACATCACTCCCAAAATCGGTTGATGCTCGTCCCTCCTGATCACTTTCTCGAATGCTGTAGGTCTTACGACCAGGGGACGTAGTGTTGTTGTTATTGTTTAAGTGGTACAACTGTGGAGCGGCACCGTGAGAGTTCAGCGTGACGAGTGACAACTTTACGCCTGCTGTAGGGGCTATTGGTATCGTGACAAGAGGGTTGGAGGTCGGAGCTGTAACCTCTGCTGGATGCGGAGGAGGGGTAGCTAGATGTATCTCGTCTCGCAAAATGTATGTGCCTGAATGATATCAGCATGCGCAACCTATAGTCTCCTCGCAGAGGAGATTGCACACCTTCGCCGACCTGAAGAGTAGTGTCTGGGCCTTCAGGATGTCGCAGGACATTGGTGGTCTCTACGGGAAGTGGCATTCCATTTGTTGCAGAACGGAAGGTATCCCACAAGTCAAATGCAGATTGGGTAGAGAAGTACGGCCTTGAGGATGCATAAATAATAGTGTCGAAATTGCCCTTCTCCAGGTGGAATTCATTGGGGGATATATAACTTGCTGGAATGGAGCAGCTCCGAGTCCGTGCCTACAACTGACTCCCCGCAAGGGGTTCCAGAGGTGAGCTTGGCAAGTCAATGGAGCTGAGGTTGCGATTTTTCTTTAACAAAAAAGCAATGGAATATCTTTCTTTTGCATTGACAGCGATGGCAGAGCTGCAGTGTCTAATGTCCAGACACGTATGAATTTAATAGAGAAAGGGCGCAGAAGTACACTTGAAGTGAAAAGACGAGCCTCGATGCAGTAAGGCCAACAGATCTTGGAGCAGTTGCTCTACTGAACGTTGTAGATCAACCAATCTTTGCTACATATTTATGTATAGATCATATACAATAGCCACCCACACCTGGCATGCTTCGGCCTCAAAACCCTCCATTAGACAAGCTGGGCAGTATGTCAAGCCCCATCGGGCCACCGCATCTGACCCATTTCCTCCCTCAAGACGGAAGACAACTGTTCGGATATCGATCCGAGTTCTTCCAGGAGTGATTTCGGCGGTTCCAGAAACCCGTTCGGGCCGCCAGAACGCTCAAGTGGTGGTGACGGGGGTGAGGCAGGTGGAGATGTTGCTGCGGTTGAGGGCGCGTCCTCTGATAGACCCTCGTTGTGCTCGTCACCACCCTGAGCAGGAGCGTCCTGTTCTTTCGTAGTTGATATGGACCCAGTAACGGCTAGCAAAACTTTTGGAGCGATCGGGGTGATGATGGTGATGTGGTTGGAGGTGTGAGATTCGTAGACGATTGATTCCGCGTCGGTTAGCTGGCTTCCTTCTCCTCCGTTGCCAGCGGAATGAGGGTGAGCCCTGCTACGCTGCCCGTTCATGTAGGAGATGTAGGCTGCTGAGAAAGTCGCGCTTTCTGTTCGTGCTTGGCGGATTGGACGCTCATCGCGGTGAGCGTGTGCTAGGAGTGATCCGTTATGAGCGAATATCCTACGAGCGTTAGACACTTGTCGAGTTGCAGAAGATTCAGATGTTGCCTTACAGGATAGAGGTCAGAGTAGAATGTTGACTCCATATGTTGCGTTCGTCTATCAGCTCGAATAATGAACATTCGTCGAGCAATTTTATCTCGGGCAAAGTCCCAGAGCTGTCCATGCTCGTTGTCGTCCGGCGCAATAATTTCTATTTCACCCTTCTCGTCCGTCACGTGAATTTGAGGAAGCTCCAGGAGAATGTCGTTGATGGCAAATTGTGGTGTCAGTGGAGCCTCCTCGACTTCGCGGGCAGATCTCGCTGGTCCGCTTAAAAACTCGATCTCGGATTCTATAGGCGTTGGCGAAGGCGAAAAGTAACCCTCATCCACCAAATCGTCTTGATGCTTGTTGGTGCTGCATTTGAAATGCTGTTTCAGTGCTAGTTCGCTAACTTTAGACACCTCCTTTGGCCCGCGCAAATCTGATTTGACAACCGATGGTATTTCGTAGATGATGCCCTGCTTGGGCTTTGATGATGGTACGCCTGTACCCCTGAGAGGTTCTGATGCGTCAGACATTCCTCTCAAGATTGTCAGGAACTAGAGAAACAGAGCCAGGCTCTGGAATATTGCGGCCCAAGAAACGGAAGGCTATGTAAGGATGTGCCACGATCAATCCTGGAAGAGAGAGCACACATTTGAATGTAGGAAGAACAAAACAGGGGAGGTCCTTGCAATTAGAATCGCACAAAGGGAGAACTGTGAGGGGATTGTGGGTCACTCCATTTTGGTCTTTAAGTCAGGGCAAATACAGTATAGAAGACTCATTCAGAGATGTGGAAAACCCAACAGGAGTGACCGAACGATTAATTGTGTTGGTTCAGATCGAAGGAAATGATCAGCCATGATACATAACTAGCAATCTAGCTACAACAGAGTGTCGGTGAAGGTTTGGCATGATGCAGGCCGAATGGGTGAGCCACACCGCATGAGAGAAGTAGGAGCTTTAGCACGCACCGTGTTAAGTGTCAGGGACTGAACAAGCCATGAGGTTTCAGGGCAACTGGATCAGATGAAGCAAGATCCGGGCTGAAGAACTTTCAAGTTCTTGAAACATGTTTCGAGAGATCTTGGTCTTGGCATGAAGTCTAGCCGACAGCCGGGGTCCCTTATTCTTACTCACGCCAATTGTTAAAAATACTCATGAGTACGATTAGTTCGAAAATTATTCTTACTCATTCCAAATTAGACAATCATTATTCTCCTGCCTAGGACTTTACAATGGCATTCTGTAGGCCAATTTACAGCTAGATCTTGCCACTACGACTATGGATCTGGCGAATCCGTGAAAATCCTACAGTAACTTACTAAGAATCTACTGTCGAGAACGCTATGAGAAGGAGAGACGAATACTTGTGCCATAATGGCAAAAAACCACCCAAAATACAGCCAAAATCACCCTTGTTCTGCCAGAAAATGTACCACAGTCCCGTCCTATTCCTCGCCTGACTTCGCCCTCAAAATTTCAACCATTTCAACAGATCCTGCTTACCTAATTGTACCCTGATTTACAAAAACTCCTCAAATTTGAATGATCTGAGCGATTCAAGTGATTTTGCAAAGTTTGTTGCTCTTGCTGTTTGAGATCTGCTATTGCTTTATCCCTCCTAGTATCTCCGCGACTGTTATATCTCTTAATGAGGTCGTTTACGCTCTAGTGAAGCTGTTAGTAAGGCAGCAGCCTACGCAGGAGTTATAAGAGGTAGAGTAAGCGCGTATTGTAAGGGCACAAACAGAGAGCGCAAGGGATTATATTATAAAGAGGAATAGTCTAGAATATTTGTAATAGAAGAGAGCGTTTAAAGAGGAGATAAAGAAGGCGGAATTATAGCTTTTGCAGGTAGTAATTAATAGGTAATCTACTAATATATCTTGATCCTAAGAGCTTATAAAAATTATAATTATTATTATTATTATTATAAGCGTTTAAGCTTAGTGTTAAAGAGGTCAAAATCACTATTATAATCCTCTTCTTATTCAGATTTAGCTATATCTATAGGCTAAATAGCTATACCTAATTATAAGCTCTCTCTAATCTCTGTCTAAATTTGTAATTACACCTATATTTATACTCTATCTTTAGTCTTTTCTTTAGCCTTAGCTTTGCCCTTACCTTTGTAATCTTACAAATCTGTTAAGGAGTTTACCTATACTTATAAGACCTTAAATAAAGATAGTTAGCGCTTTTAGGATTTAGTATATCAAGTTCGAATGGTTAAAGAATCTGTTATTTTGCAAATAAGAAGTAATATAGGAAGCTTACTAAGGCAGTTAATCCTTTATTATATATCGAAATTAGCTATCTCTAAAGAGAGATATTTAAGCATTCGCTATTAAAGGATATAAGTATAAGGTGTCACGGCTGCTATGCTTGTTGGCCGCTAGCGCTAGGGCCGCCAGGTATTAATTGGCACTACGCGTTAGTAAGGGGCATGCTCACTATATAGGAGCGATCCCAGTGCCATCCTCGTCGGCTCTGCAGTCTTAGGATAGCACTCAACATAGGCTGAAGATCTCGCACACTCGTCACCTGCTTCTAACGTGACACGTGACATAAGGCAGACCTTTTGTAGTTATAAATACTCTTTTACAAAGTATAAGAGGAAGATAAGCAGTTTTGAAAGATAAATTAAATACTCTGTAGTAAGCTTTAACCTGATTAATAGCATAATAGCTAATAATCCTATGTAACTTTCAATATAAGGGAGATTAAAGATTAGTGTATTCTTTTTATTAGCTGTATTTAAGCTTCTCTTGAATCTTATTATTATAGAGATCAAGATATCTTGATAGGTAATCTATTATATCATTGAGATGTGCTCATTTGGTACCTATTCCGCGTTTAACGGCCTGATAAACACCTTTCGCCCTAGAGCTATTAACGTTACTATAGTGCCTAATTTAATCAGTCCATGCACAGATAAAGGTCTCCTTGTAAGGCAGCTAAATTCGAACAAGATAGCTTAAAACCTTCGGCTATAAGTCGCGGTATTACTTTTACAGAATAGCCTAGTTCTAATTATAATTAGCCTTTGTTTCTGTGTATAAAACCTTCTACTAAAGAGGCATAAACTCCTTAACATAGTTATTAATTATAGCCTTCCTTTCCTTATTAGAGACTCGATTTTGTGTCCTCTTAAGCTAATGCTTTTGATAGTAGCCCTTAATATCTTTCTTAATGTGCTAATAGCATAGTAGATAAGGTACTTCAGGCCAAATGAGGCTACAGGCCACATGTAGACCCCTAGCTTTATCAGTAGTAATCAACTCTGGAAGCGGAAGGTCAAATTCTTCGTAAAGATCCTTAACCTACTACAGAACCTATGTATAATCCTCCTCCTCTTTATAGGTTAAAAATGCCTAGCTAATCACAAATGACCTGTTAGTTATGATTATACTTACGATATTAAGTAAGGGAAGGTTGAATTTGTTTATATTATACGTTAAATCAAGCACGTAGCTCCTCAGAAACAGGCGGAGAAGCTATAGAGATGCATTATAAAAGAATAGTATTCTCTCTAGACGGCTATAGTTATTAAGTATGTAGTAAAACTAGAATTGATCTTTAAGCTTATAAATCATTACCTAAATAGCAGGTAATCTATTATTTATAATCTTCTTAACCTTATTATAGACGTTTTGAACATCTTGTAAAGATATTAGTATCTCTAGAAACTACCTTCAAATTAATGTAAGTATTGCCTTTATAGGTATTCTTAAGAGCTTATTTTCTTGAATTTAAGATAGGATTTCAGGATAAGCGTTTCAGGCGTTTCTTTAATAAATCAGATGAGCTGTAAGAAGATAAAAAAGGCTGTGATTATGCTTATTATAAGGCGCTTAAGAGTATTAAATGCTAAATAGGCTATTCAGCTCTTTAATAGGCTATATAATAATAATTCAAAAGGGGCATTCTCTCCGCCTTATAAAGCTCCTCCTATATTATTAGCTAGTCAATTTAACTACAGGCTTGTGCTTACCTCTGTAGTCACATTCTAGAACGACTCTTTATAGACTTATATCCCCTTTTTAGCGTTTTCTAAAGTCCTGAATTTATAAGGTATAACCATGATCTTTTGCCTAGTTTTGAGTGTATTTAAGAGCTAAATTACATCTTTTAAAAGACTAAACTAGAGGAGGCAGAATCCTAAAGGCAGATAGTATAAAAGTAAGATCTTTAAATCCTTCTTATTTATCCTCTGTATTCTAGTATTCAGGTTTAATAATGTCTTTTATTAGCTAATTCTAATACTTAATTTCTAGACTTATTTTTAGCTGAAATTAATTTAAATTAGAGTAAGAAATAAAGTATAATAAAGCCTTGCTCAAAGATTTGACCTTATTAGTACTATTAAGCTCAGGATTAATAACAATATAATTAAATTTAGTAACAAAGGAATTAATATCAAATTCAAAAGGATCAAATAAGATTAATTATACATTAGGTGCTTTAGGTCCTATTCTAATTTAACTATACTATTTCTTATAAATCCTGTCAACTTTTAATTTGAATACCGGCCTATAAACAAGCTAATACACATTTACTAAGAAATCCTTAGCAGAAATGAACTCAGTTGATCGGATTTGGGATAGACGTGGCGGCGCCTGCGAATCCATCCTTAGACGTACAGAAAGCTAATGCAGTGTTTGGGACAGCGTTCCAGTGAGGGCGCAGGCGAAAAATAAGGTTTACAGCCACTAACCAAATTGGAAAGCCCTAATACCAAATATGGTAGTCCTGATACCCGATTTGGAATGAGTAAGAATAATTTTCGAACTAATCGTACTCATGAGTAAATTTAACAATTGGCGTGAGTAAGAATAAGGGACCCCGCCGACAGCCTAAACGTGCTTTTGCCAATTCAGGCAATTCCACTTAAAAGATTCGGGCCCACTGGGCACAGTGGGAAGAACGGAAGATCCGACCCAGCCGTAGAAAACGCAGCCAGCCCAGGCACATGTCAGTTTATTTCAATGGTCAGCATTATTCTAGACATCATCATAAGAGGGACCGCTTTGGGCCAGGACCTGTAACTCCCACTAAAGCTCGCAACCTCTGGGTAGCTTGCTTTAAAAAGTCACCCGGAGGCTGCCTACCAACGACTTCTACAGGAACATCCAGACAGCAATGACCCCACCCATTATTGCGCCATCCCTAGCTGTCCTTGGTGCAGTCCCAGTTTGTGTGCTCTGACCAGTACTCGAGCTCCGTGTTGATGAAGCCCTCCTCGTGCTGCTAGTCCCGGTGACGCCCGTCCCGGTGACGCCCGTACCGGTACTGGAGGTAGTGGATGCGATTGAAAGGGTGGAAGTCAGGCTAGGGATGATGTCCGTGAAAGGTGTGTCGGCCAGGCTTGTCCCGGTCATGGCGGGTGCTTGAGACCCCACAGCGGGATCAGGTACTGCTCCTGTACCATTCGGATTGAGAACATTGTCAATGACGTGCATGACACCATTTGCAATCAGGAGATCTGTTTGCAAGACCCGAGCACTATTCACAAAGTTCGAATTACTAGCTTGGCGGACCGTGATATTTTGACCTTGCACCGATGTGAATACAGTGCCATTAATCAAGGAAGATGTATAGAAGGGCCCGCCTTGACCGACTATGATGTGATAGTTGACGAGGCTGGACAAGCTTTGTTCGTCAATCGATGTTACGGTTGATCCAACCTTTTCGAATGCAATGTTGTTCGGGACGAAAAGAGTGACATCGCGAGCTTGGGTGATGAATTCGGCCAAGGATTGGTTCTGGTAGCCAGCACCGAGAAAACCCGTCAGGTTGAACGGTATGGCTGCCTGTATAAATGGTTGAGGTGGGAGCACTGGTGAATCAATTACATGCATAACCCCTCCACTAAAGTAAATATCTGTCCTCTCTGCACTCGAACGAGTCCCGCCGCCAGATACAATAATGAGCTCACCGTCCCCTTGCTTCACAAATCCGATTCGCTGTCCACTGCTGACGTTTGTATAGGTCGTATCATCTAGCCTTGTTGGGAAAAATCCGAAAGATTGATTGACGGTCGAAGACTGGTGGTCTCCTGGTATGATATGGTAGTTCAGAAATGCCTCAATCGCTTCCGTACTATTGTCTGCAAAGATGCTCGAACTTCCCAGCCGATCGAAGGCGCTGTCTGAGGGCGCAAGAAGGGTGACATATTGCTGAGACTGCTGCTGATTGCTGATATTGGCGATCAAGCTAGAGAATTCGGTTGTCAAAAGCTCATTGAACGAACTCAGGTTTTCAGTATCAGCAAGAACATCTTCTAGAGAGGGAGTAGAACTTTGGGTGAAAGAAAGAGCGACGAAACCAGATATGCTGGCCACAGTTAGGAATTGAGAGCGCATGGTGTTCAGACTACTACAACCCAAAGCAACGCCAGCCTCAAAGGTTCAGGCCTGCGGTCCCAGTTCGAGGTGGGAAGTAATCAAGTATATTTGCAAGGGTGAGGGACTTGATAGATCAAACCTTGTCTTATTCCCATTGGGAAATCAATAGATCGCCAGGGCAGAATCCGGTGCGTGGCTGTCGCATGTCTTAGATTAGAGATTGCCCTGCAGATCGGATGTCTTAAGACGGCATACTTCGTAGAGTGCCTTAGAAAAGAAGAGCCTTGACAGAACTGTTCAAGACAGGTACACGCGTTAGTGCAGACTGTGGGGTTCGAAGTGGCGTTTCGGGACATTCACTGCCGAATCACCTTGAATTCTTCCGCCGCAGTGGTTGGGAATTTGCGCATTAGTTGACATAAGCGAGCCTCGCCTGCACGTCAAGATAAGATTGACTTTTAGCTCCTTCTTGCTGAAGTATGGATGGTACCAGACTTTGCCTCTAATTTCCTGTGCATGTTGGCCGCACGGTCTACTCCATACGAGGGTTGGTAATTGTATGGCAGCTTCAAGCTTGTTCGGGTGGTTCTTAATCGCTACTGTGGTGAGTCGCTGTACCGTGATAATCAGATCTCGATCTTGTCAGTCTCATCATGATCAAGTGTGTCCAGTTGGCATAATCCTTCATCCTTCTTCACCCTCTCCGTTACGCACTGTCTCATTCTCTGGCTCGCTCTCGAGTGCTGGATCAATGGAAACATCCTTATCTCCGCTGTTTCTACCAGCAGCTTTGGTCGCCGTAATGCCCCCAGATGTCACGAAGAGAAATGCTTCGCTGGCGAAGTTGTCGACATGGTTGAAGAAATTGCCAAAGCTGCTCAAGTGTCAGTCTCAATTCGCCATCGTGCAGGCATACAAGTCAAAAAGGGGAACGAACACGTTGTTCTTTTCCTCATCTCGATAGATCCTTTCGTAAATCTCTCTTTGCTTGAACTCCTCCATCTCGCTCTCATACTTGCTAAAATCTATCGCTTCTTTACCATGCTCGCTTTTTGCGCGCTTGTTATAAGAGTCAAAGACTGGGCGCTCAAGGAGCAGACCGAGGCTCGGTGCTTTCGGTATTGAAATGGACCCTTCCCCATAGGCCTCAGCAATCCGTTTTGGATCACAACCACATCGAATGACCAGCGCAACCATTCCGACCATTTTTCGGATTTGATGCATCATGAAACTCTGGCCATGGACTTTGAGACTCAGCCATTCGGTCCCATTAATGAGAATAGGCTTCGGGTTGACAATGAAAGATTTGATTACGCGCTTGGCGGATGGATCCCTGAATTTCTTTTCGACGGTGAAATTGTGAAAGTTTCTTGTGCCTTCGTACATTGCTAGACAGCTTCGAACGCGCTCAAGGCGAGCTGGCGAGATACGATAGGAACGTTTGGCAGCAATGTAGGCAGCACGTAACTTCTTAATGCCTTCAGCGATTGTGGGTAAGTTCTTATCCTTAGTCGTCAACGAGCTCTGAGCTTCGCATGCTAGAGAGGCTGCAGATCTTGAAGGCTCTTGTTCTCGAAGAAGGAGCGCTGTCTCTAGCAAGACTCTTGTGTCATTATCGTAGTCTTCGAGCATTAGCTTGACTTGGGTTTCGCTTGCATTCTCTTTATCGATTTTGTCCAAAAATTCTTCGATTTCCCTCCGATTGTTCTCATTTACCCCACTATTGAGAAATGCCTCTGTTGCTTCATGGCTTCGTATCGACCCTAGTTCCTCGCCAATGCGGTTACTCTCTTTATTTTGTGAAGGAGCTGGGGCAGCTGCATTGCCCTCTTTAGGATACAGCGCTCTTTCGAGTACGTTCCGGGAATCAGCATCATACCCTTCAAGAATCTGTGTAATGTGCTCCTCATCAACCTTCTCCCAAAAGCCTTCAACCTCATCCTGTCTGCTTCTCCAGCGCTCTTCATCATCGTTCTCCCTGGCTGACTCTGCAATCTTTTGACCAAGGTAGCTGCTTGGGTGAGGAGGGAGGAATGAATGTGTAGGGATGAGGTATTCGTAAATTCTCGAATCGACCAATTGATATGCGCTGAAGCTGTTGATTGTTCTCTCGTAGCCCCAGACTCTGATCTGAGGGCTCAAATGCTCATTGATCTTCTGCACGGTATCTTCGTCCTCAACGATCAATTTCAGTGAAATGACATTCCCTGCAGCGTGCACACCTTTATCCGTCCTGGCACACCGGACAAACGAGGATTTCTTTGGGTCGTCGGCATTGGCTTTTGAAATTGCGCCTGCAGCAACAAAGGCCTTGAAGAGGTCGCCCTCTACGGTCTTCTGGTCATGCGCGCTGGTACTATCAGCGGATGAACGGTCTTAAGAAAGAAGTCTGCTCACAATTGCATGCCACGGTATCCAGTACCAGAATATCCTATAAGAACAGCGACCTTTTTCTTTGGCCTTCTTTCCTCGGCAGCGATATCATCCTTCGAGAATTGAGTAGCGTAGGCTGGTAATGGAGCGTCTCCTCGATCAATCCGCTGTCGTTTTGCTGCTTGCTGGTCGTCGTTCCGTCTTCGCTTGTCTGGTTTCGTTTTGCTTTTAGCGGTCAGTCTGAAATAGTGATGAGTGCTTAAATAAAATAAAATTGTTCATACCTCCATTCTGACCTGCCCATATCTCGTTTCTTATTCGGCGGACCTCCTCGACCTCGACCTCGAACTTTGCTTCTGTCGGAAACAGATTTCGAATGAAATTGCTCTGTTCCTGCGCCAGCACCTCCTGGTAAAGAATCCCTCGACTCAGACGTCTGACTTGCACTTGCTTGATCCATTGCACCAAGTGAAAGCTTTTCCTTGACGAGTAAAAGGCGTTCATATAACAGCTAAAGCTTACTACGTGGGTCTAACTTGCCTAATTAGAGCTTTGAAAAGATTGACCAGGGTTTGTCTTGGCATGCACCAAGAACGACGTGACTTGAAGGGTGGACCTCGTACGGAGTACTTAGCAGGAAGCGGCCCTATGAAGGTTATGCCTAAATTACCATCAATGTGTACTTAATAGTTTAGGCCTAACTGTGATATGATCTACTAGTAATTTGCGTAAAAGTACTCCCTACGCAGCCAAACATCTAATATCCAATGGAATTGTATTATTTTGGGTGTCCTTTTTTCTAAAATCATGACTATGACAGTCATCTAAGGACCAATACCTTTGTCATTTTCAATACCCTTCTCCACGCAAGTACTAAAGCGGTACGTATGCCTGTCTGAAGCTTTAGAAAAGGGAACTCTACACCGGAAAAGATCTGATAAGTTACTTATTTTTGGATATATTGCGATTATCTACGCTAAGCTGAAGCGTGCCTTATGCCGCCAAAACCAGGGAATAGGATGAAGCAACGCCAGCTATAATGATACACGCAGGCGCCTGACCCACACACCATAAGCCACCATGGTCTTAATGCTTCGTCAACGCTTTCATGAGATGTCGTTGTCGTCGTGCAGCTCGATCAGCCTCAATGCATGTCAAACCTCACACTATGCGCCCATCATACCAGCGCTAGCAATTGCGCTGCCGCTCCCCATGCTGCCTCCTATATCCCAATAATTCCGGCTGCTACCATTACTTCTGACAAGAGAAGGCCTGCGACCACTTCTGACGCTTTCACTTGCACAGCTACTAGCTGAACGCCTCAGAGTTCGTAAAGAAGGATCTCGCCGAAGCCTCGCAATGGTTGGCTGATGCGCTCTTGCAACAAGAGGATGGTGCCGTCGAATGGCATCCGCACGTCTGACAGGATCTTCTGTGGTTAGCGCTGGCTGTGGTGGAGTGCTCTTTGGTCCATTGTTAGTGTGTGAAGTAAATCGGCTCTTCAAAAAGCGGAAGACCATCTTAATATCGAGCTCGCGCTCCCAATATTCTCTTTCTCTTCGGAGCCTTTCGGCATCATCCACGTCTATGTTCGGACCGTTTGGGTCGCAAGCCGTCTCATCTTCGAGGCCCCAGGAAGCATCATGGGCGCGATCTGGGACCGTGGGCGAAAACAATGGTGTGATTTGGGAATTAGGATCATTGTAAGGTCTTTGCGGAGAGCCCAGTTTTCCAGACGACCGCTCAGAAATCGGTATCCCGGCATAGTCAGGTGGCATAGAAGATGAATCAGCAGAAAAAGCACCAGGGTGAGGAGATAACTTGTTGACAAGAAGACCCAGCTCACGAGCAATGCGATGGAGCAAGCGATCTGGCCACGTCTCCTGGATCAGAGACAGCTGATCCACTGACCAATCCCCCTCTGGACTGTTGACCACATCCGTCATTGCATACATGTCTTGCGGAAGCGTTTCACCCACAATGACAGAAAGGAGAGGCTCATCAATGCCGATAACATCCCGGATGAATTTCCGAGTCACCTTTTTCCAAAATGGCTCCACTTCCTCGGTCTTCTCTATTGACGGGGTAACCAAACCATCCTGTTTTGGCCCTTTGCCGATCGGGTCATCTCCTATCCCCATTTTGGTGTTACTTAAGGGGTCTCTGGTGTCAGCACTGTTGCTTCTTCTTCTTCTAGTCTCCTTCTCGATCTCCTTCAGAAGGGCCTGGCTTTGTTCCATGCGCCATTGCTCGATCCTCATTCGCTTTTCTTCGGTTATCTGCAGGTCAAGTTCTTCAATTGTATCAAGTCGTCGCAGCACGCTTGGCCTTTGGTCATGATTTCCTTCATGCTTACGCTTTGGATTGTATTGTTCGTGCTGCCAAAGCTGATCTTGAACCGCCGCGCTGGAAGCTGGGAAAGTCCCCAGCCCATCATGAGTCGGTAGTACGGCTGCATTGCCTTGATTTGAGGACGATCGATACAAGGAGGGTTCTCCAAAGGCCTGAAGTCCATCGTCGAGAGTGTCTAGCTCACCGTCTTCGGTGAATGCATCGTCGACATTGCTTTGCGTGGCTTGATCTGGTCTTGTCGCGAGGGAACCAAAATCACTCAGACGCGATAGACCGGCAGTGTGGGGAGTGCGCTCGGTTTGTGTTCCTGTCGTAGTCGAAGCAGCTTGCGACGGAGAAAAGAGAACCCATTCTTGTGATTGTTCGACTCGATCGTGTATGTGGAGCAAGGATGTCGAGTTCGATTCTTCCTGACTGGGTTGAGGAAGTAGTACCTGTCGCGGCGCTGGAACAGGTTGGCGGAAGGCCATGTCGCAGACGAAGGGGCAAGGCCCCGCTTGCTGATTTGCAGTCGATTAGTATAGAGAATGGGGTAATCTATGAGAACAGTCGGCCTTGATGTGCAAATTGGCTTTCACAAGGCTGACAGGGAAAGGGGCTTGTTTTCAATATGGAACGAGGAAGTAGGAAGTTCCATTGAGGGTCCTCAAGAGAGTATGCATAAAGGAGCCATCGTAAGAACTTATTGAATGTTTGTGCGATAACGATATCAGCTTTATATAGGATGAAAGAAAGCCACGTCGAGTGTAGGGACGTGTTGGGGATTCTGTGGAGTGGTGATGACAGGGTCATGGATCTGGACTTGCTTGCAGGGATCACGCAGTGAAAGGAGCGGGACCTAGTTTGGCTCCAGATAAGTTACAGTAAACCTGATAACATTTCCAGACTTCGCTGTCCACAGTCCCTAATTGTGAGCACGTGAGCCTGAATTGGATCACCACCAAGCTCATGGACGCCTAGACTAATAAAGTATCGGGCAGTACGGAGTACTATGGCAGGTCATGCAGGTGACTGTACTACCTCACAACTCAAGATTCCGGGACATAGGGCGCTGTTTTAGGCAGTCTTTGACGCTACTTTCGGCGTCTATTACACCGCGGGTCATATGACGTACTACCACATTTTTTGTCACCTAGTCTAAATTTACCAACATCGCACCTTGAAAAACACCCTTCTTTCCTCATCTTTCCCTTTTCTGGGCTCTTAGGTTTTCTGACCCCTAGAAACTATTCTCTTTAATACGCTATGCTCGCACCTTATTAGCGGCGTCACTAGTAGTTATAGAGTTCCTCTTAACTATAAAGATGTAATAGCCTTTACTTATTATATTTACTCTTTACTACAGGTTCCCGTAATGACTATTACTTAGAGCCGCTTTATATAGCTTTATATATAGCTTTCTATCTAATCTATTTACCTCTTTATTATACCTTTACTCTGTTCTTGCCCTCTTTAATCTCTAAGATGCTATATAGACTAATAAGACTACAGAATAGATATATAGAAAGATCAAGATTCTTATTTACTAATAGCTAAGTACTATTATTAATATTAATAGTAGTTAACTAAGAAAGAAACTATTAAAAAGCATTATATTATTTCTACTAAGAACAATATTAAAGAGATAAAAAAATAGTAAAAAAAGTAAGTTTCTTTTAATTAATAATATTATCTTTATTAGTAAGCTAATTAGTTCTAAGTTTTATAAGTTAATAAATAAAGATCTTTTAGCCTTTCTTTAGCATTACTCTAAAGAGAATATTATAATATTCTAGAAATAAATATTAGACTAATATAAGATATAAAAAAAAGTATACTTTATAAATATTAAAGGATTTAGTATATACTTTACTAATAATATAATAGCTAAAGCTTATATATAAAGATAGTGTTATAAATATTAATAATATATATATTTTGTTATTCTAAAGAAAGAATCTAGGCTAATAGACTATCCCTTGTGAATCCGATTAAATCCCTGTTGTGGGTATCCTTCCTTGTAGAGTTTAGCGTTAAGAATACCCGTGTTTAGCGGTGAGGTTATTTCTGCAGCCTTGGCATTAGGAACGTCAAAATTATGGAAGAGTGCTGCAGCCTTAGCGTTAAGAACATCAAAATTCGTCAAGATCTAGCTGTAGCCTTAGCGTTAAGAACACCAAAAGTAAATTATAAGAGTAAAATTTAAATTAGCTGCATTAGACTTATTATTAGGGCTAGAGACCTATAAATAATAAATAGCCCTTAGAATTTCCTATCAAAATATCTTATTTATATTTTTATAAGACTAATATTTAGCTTAAAGCAAAAAGAATAGTAAAAAGATATTAAATTTAAAAAAATAATTGTATATATAACTAGACTATTATTATAAATAAAAGTTTATAAGCAAAAATTTATATTGTATAAAATATATGCTTTTAGAAGAAGTTTTTTTAAGATTAATAGCTAAACTATTTAATAAGTTATAAAAGAAAATATCTTTTATTTATTTTTTATTTTTTATTTATATCTATTATAATAAGCTAATTAATAATGTTATAAAGCTAAGAGTAATATTATTTAATACCTCTTAAATTTTTTTATAAGAATAAATAATATTTAAATTTATAATATTAATATTTAGTTTAAGAAAATTTAAATAATTAAATAAAATTAGTATTTAATAATTCTTTATTTTAGTATTAATTCTATATTGCATTTTTAATTCTAAAAATAGTTTTAAAGAATATTTCTTAATTTTCTCTTCTAGAATCCTATTTATATGCCTGATTCTAGTAGTTTCCCTCTTTACAAACGTGTTTTTCGCATTCCTTACAGTACTAAAAGGTCTGTTTTCCTCTTTTTTGATCCCTTCTTAACTTCTTTGGCCTCTCTATATTAATATTCTGATTTAAATCAAATCGAAATACAGAAATAGAGAGGTCTTCTTCTCTTAAATCCTGCCTATTTGATAATTTTGTTAATTTTGGTGTATAAAACCTACAGAAGCCTTTTTTTGATATCTTAGAATAAGTATAATGCTTATATAAAGGCTCTAGTGCTTCTAGGGAAGGGGTTAACTAATTAATAAAGTTTCGAACTCTATTATCTGTTTTTAAACCAAGTTTTCGTCTAGCTTGATAAGGCTAAGATTAATATTTTAGATAGGGTTTTCTAGTGATTTTCTGAGCGAAATCCTCTGAATTTATACAAAATAGAAGATTAATAAGATCTTCTATATAGTTTCGATGCTGATTTGTGTCTTGATTACCGTTTTGAGTTGTTTTAGAGCCATAGATAACTAAATAAAGCTTATAGCTATTTGTAACAGCTAAATTAAGATACCAAAAAACTCTTAAAAAGAATTCCTTAAGATTTCAACGAAAATAAGTAGTAAAGGCGGCTTAAAGCTGATTTGCTTAATCTATTCCCCCTATATGATAATTATAATAATTAATAAATAAGGGGATAGGAAGAATTTTGGTTAATTAATCTCTAAAGAGTTTTCAAGTAATTATTGAATTTAACGCTAATTTTCAGAGTCTTTTTCGCTCGCGATTAATTAAGTTATTCCTATTCAAAAATTAATTTAATAGCTTAAAAACTGGGCGAGATATTAGATAAAAAAGAGTTAAAAAAAGAAAACTTACTTATAACTGTATTTGAATCCTACTACAACTAACAAGCTATCCTATAAATAATAGTAGCTTCTAGATGTCCCTATTCTAATGCTCTATTTACCATTTTAAGCATTAAAAAGTAAAGGGGATAGCTAGCAGCTAATTTTCGAACAGTTCTAGTAATAGTAATTTCATGCTTTTTTAGTGCTTAAACAGATTTTTATAAAGTAAATAAATTATTTAAGAATAGATGAAAATTTAGCTTTTTTTGCTTAATAAATAAAGCTAAACACGAAACCAAACAAATAATAACTGACTATGTAAGATTCAAAAGAGTGGTTTTTGTAAAATTTAGAATAGAAACAGAAACACATTTTTTAGCAGCTAAAAACCCCTTATTTAATCCTAGCTTTGTGTATTCCTAGTTAAAAATATAACCGGAATCAGCTAAAGCAAAGATTTTGAACCCTGTAGATATAGGCTTGCCAGGAATAATAACTTTTTGTGAAGTTTAACCTTCAAACTTGATTAAGATTTCGACAAAAATAAGTGGTAAAGGTGGCTCGGAGCTAATTTGCTTGATCTATCTCCCCTATATAATGATTATAATAATTAATATATAGAGGGATAGGAGGAATTTTAGTCGATTAGTCCCTAAAAGGTTTTCAAGTAATTGTTGAATTTGACGCTAATTTTCAACGCCTTTTTCACTCGCGTTTAACTAATTCAGGTAATAAAAGTTCGGTGGTTATTCCTATTCAAAAATTAATTTAATAGCTTAAAAATAAGGCGAGATATTAAATAAAGAAGAAATAAAAAAATCAAAACTTACTTATAACTGCATTTAAATCCTGCTATAACTAATAATCTATCTTATAAATAATAGTAGCTTCTAAATAGCCCTATTCTAATGCTTTATTAATAATTTTGAGCATTAAAAAACAAGAGGGATAGCCAGCAGTTGATTTTCGAACAATTCTAATAATAGTAATTCCACGCTTTTTTAGTGCTTAAATAGATTTCTATAAAGTAAATAAATTATCTAAAAATAAAGGAAAATTCAGCTTTTTTTGCTTAATAAATAAAGCTAAACATGAAACTAAACAAATAACAACTAATTACGTAGGATTTAAAAGAGTGGTTTTTATAGAATTTGGAATAGAAACAGAAATATATTTTTTAGCTACTAAAAACCTTTTATTTAACCCTGGCTTTGTACATTCCTAGTTAAAAATATAACCGGAATCAGCTAAAGCAAAGATTTTGAACCCTGTAGATATAGGCTTGCCAGGAATAGTAACTTTTTGTAAAGTTCGATCTTCAAACTTGATTATAACTTTATTAATAATGATATTTATACTTAGAAGCTAATAAAAAGCAGATTTTTGACAAAGAATAGACATAATAGGGTCTAATTTATCCCACTAATTAGCCTTTATAGAAAAGGGATTTTCTCCTTTATCTTTAAAATACAAAAATAATATAATTTGTTTAAAATAATCTTTAGAAATAAGAGAATTTCAAAGAATTTCATTTGAATTTCTCTATAAATAATAATGAATAGGGTGCTTATAAAGTGCTAGAAATAATAAATAGCCAAAAAAGTAATATAATTTAATAATAGAGAGAGATTTCTCCGTATTTTGTGCAGAATTCCAATGTAATATAACGGCGACCGCCTCTTTAATAATAAGAGACATAGCTTCCCAGCTAAAGAATAGCTGAAATAAGGCTAGAGGGTACTAATGTTAATTGTTAGGAAGATTCTGAGGCTTAGAAAGATATTTAACGATCAGAATTGATTGAAAATCAGGTAATAGTCAAAGAATTTCGCTAATTAGGCGGCCTTTGAAATGTTCTTCAGCTTCCTCTAGGGGTATTAGAAGCTTATTAAGCTGATTATTAATGGTGGAGTCATCAGGGATAGATAGAGCTAATAGAAATTAGTATAAATAATAAAAAAAGTAATAAAAACAGCTAAAAATAGCTAAAAATAAGTAAAAAGAGCTATTTTTACTTACTTATATAATTATTTAGCTGTTTTTTTGCTTATTTCTTTGGAATAGGCTTTGCTTTTGGCCCTTTATTTGTAGGAGTTAGATGTAAAGACTCTGAAAGATAGAGGGGGCCACGCTTTTGATGAATTTCAGACTAAAACAGGATCTGAACAGTAATATGAGCCTGAATAGGCCCTGTTTAAACGGCGGAGTCAATCGGAGAGGATCCTTTATAGCTATCAGAGCTATAGCTATCTAGGGAAGAAATTTCGTCTTGATCCGTTAAGAATTAGGCGTCTTAAGAGGCTTTTCGTACACGCTTTGACTGTAAAATGCGTGAATTTAAGGGATTTTTAACAGAAATCGGCTTATTTTTGGCGTTTTCAACAGATAGCTTATTAATAGTGCGTTTATACAAGGCAATTAAGGCGTTAGTATCCGCATTTGATGCAGATTGAGCTGAAATTCGTGGAGAAACCAACATTTTAAGTGGTTTTAAAGGGTTTTTGATGGTTTTTAAAGATTTCTAAGCAGAAAAAGCTAATTTAAGGTAATAGAGTTAATTGAATAGATAGGGCTAAGGGCTAGTATCAATTTGAACTAATTTCGAGTTCATTTGGTAGAGGAATAAAAGAGTAAAGGTGATATAAAGTAGTAGAATTAATTAGTGTGGGATGCCAAGTTTTGATAGAAACAAAAAATAGAAAAGCTCTAAACTCTTGAATCTTGAATAACTTACTAACTACTTTAGTTATAACCTCTACAAAAACTTTTCCTAAAAGACTATAAATAGATTAATATAACATATTATTTATAAAGTTATATCTTTTATAATAATAAAGTTAGTTCTAAAGTTATTTTTTAAAACTATTACCTTTTTATCTTTTCTTAAAATACTCTATTGATAAGAGCCCTATTTATTTAAAAGCTATATATTTAGATAGATCTTTTTAAGAGCTATCGAATGATACTATTATTAGATTTATAGCCCTAATAATTAGCCTAATGCAGCTAATTTAAGTTGTACTCTTATAATTCACTTTTGATGTTCTTAACGCTAAGGCTACAGCCAGGTCTTTACAAATTTTGATGTTCTTAACGCCAAGGCTGCAGCACTCTTCCATAATTTTGACGTTCCTAATACCAAGGCTGCAGAAATAACCTTACCGCTAAACACGGGTATTCTTAACGCTAAACTCTACAAGAAAGGATACCCACGACAGGGATTTAATCGGACTCACAAGGGATAACTCTCTTAGTTAGCCTGATACAGCTAATTAAAGTTTTACTCTTATAATTCACTTTTGATGTTCTTAACGCCAAGGCTGCAGCCAGGTCTCAACGAATTTTGATGTTCTTAACGCCAAGGCTGCAGCATACTCCCATAATTTTGATGTTCCTAATGCCAAGGTTGCAGAAATAACCTCATCGCTAAACACGGGTACCTCTTAACGCTAAACCCCCAACGGCAGGAGGACCACGACAGGGGTTATTCGGGGTCACAAGGGATATGGCATAAGATCGTGACATCACCAAAAGATCATCTAAGAGGATGAATATGCAGGGACATGAAGTGATGCTCCAAACCTTGCACATCTGACCAGTATTGAGCTTCATGGCGGGTCTTGGTGGATCTACTATGCCCCGTACTACAATGGTAACATCATCTGCACTTTTTTCTCGTAATGTGGTATCCTGCAGAAATAATGTGATACGAGGCACCAGGGGGTGCAGGAATTCATTTTACCACTATTTGCGCCGACATTTAGCCGAAATAGGTCATACACCTTATGTACAAAGTTACTAAATAAAATTAAGTATTCTTATCCTTATAGGTTTTCTGTACCGTAGAGTCTTATTCAGAATTAACAGGAGGACTCATGTTGCTGAATTGATCGAGTAAACTTGTGTAGGAAATAGGTACTTGATGTGTTGACACAATTCGGCTAAATGTCGGCGCAAATTGTGGTAAAATGAATTCCTGCACCCCCTGGTGGAGGGAGGTAAATAATGGCATCATGATGATGTACGATGTATCGGAACATTTTTCCGTTCTCATGTCTTTATGCTGTATTCACTTCGTGAGATTCACACATGCCATGTTTGCGAAATGTTGAAGCGCACAGTATTTGGCTACCTTGTTCGACCCTGTTCGCGCCCTTCATTTCATCTTGTCCCACCAGTTACCACCCTTTCATCTTCAATCAATCATCTTTCCAAAACGAGCTTTCAACGTCACAGGTATTCTACGATGCTTGATCCCAACCAATTCATCCGAACCTCTGGAAAGGCAGATCCAGTATGGGTCCACACTGAGCCCTACAGCAAGCGTCCTCAATTCGAGAAGCTCGACAAGGACATTGAGACCGATGTCTGCATCATCGGATCAGGCATCTCTGGAATCTCCACCGCATACGAGCTTGTCACCCGTGGCGTCAACGTTGTCATGATCGAAGCAAGAGACATCCTCTCTGGCGAGTCTGGAAGGACCAGTGGTCATCTTGCCAGTGCTCTTGATGATCACTACACTGAAATAGCCAAGACACACGGCGACAAGAAGGCGAAGCTTGCTGCAGAAAGTCATTCATGGGCTCTTGACAGAGTCGGAGAGATATCTAAGCAGCTGAGTATTGAATGCGAATATCGCCATCTTCCCGGCTATGAGATATCTCAATATCCTCGTAGTGATCCACACCATGCGGAAGAAATGAAAGAGCTCAAAAGCGAAGCTGACAAGGCAAAGTCCCTGGGGTTGTCTACGGAATTTCAAGAGACATTTGCGATCAAGGGATGGGAAGGGAAGGTGGACCAGCGTGGTGGAGCAATCTTCTTTCAACAAGCTACCTTCCATCCCACGAAGTATCTACTTGGAGTCATCAAATGGCTTGCGAAGCAGCCCAACTTTACCTGCTACACTCACACTCGGATGATGTCCTGCGAAGAGAAAGGCTTGCTAAACAAGGAGGTCAAAGTAGGCACGCTCGATGGGAAGACAATCACCTGTAAGGATGCAGTGGAAGCTACCTGCGTTCCCTTGCAGAAGTTGAGCATCGTGGCGGAAATGGAGTATTATCGTACGTATTGCATTGCCTCACGTATTCCAAAGGGGAGCTACGAAGACTGTCTCATCTATGATCTCGCTGACCCATACCACTACATCCGATTCACTGAATGTGATGAGAAAGACGACTACCTTGTCCTAGGTGGCGCAGACCACAAAGTCGGTCAAGAGGGAAATGAAGAAGCCAAGTATAAGGAGCTCGAAGACTGGGTCCGTGAGCGCTTCACCCAGCTTGGACCAACAGACTACAAGTGGAGCGGCCAAATCTTCGAACCTGTCGATCACGTAGCATTTATCGGTCTAAATCAAGGCAAGAAGCACATTTATGTCGTGACTGGCGATTCAGGCAACGGCCTTACACATGGTGTTCTAGCCGGCAAACTCATCGCGGACGAAATCCAGGGTGTGCAGAATCCGTGGAGTGGACTTTACAATCCAAAGCGGCTTCCACCACTTTCCACGCTTCCTGACATGATCGGCCACGATCTTCAGATAAATGCTCAGTACAAACGCTTCTTACAGAGCGATGTCAAGGACATCGAGGACATCAAACCCTGCAGCGGCGGCGTGCTAAATCCCACAGCCTCAAAACCAATTGCCGTCTACCGTGACGAGAATGGTAAGCCGCACAAATTTTCGGCAATGTGTCCTCATCTGCACGGCGTTGTTGCTTGGAACCAATCGGAGAAGACCTGGGATTGTCCGGTGCATGGAAGTCGATTTGGAGGGAACAATGGCGTCTGCGTGATGGGACCTGCAAAGGCGGGACTGGCGCCGGTGGAATGAATTTGGGAGAGGAACAGTTCTTTGACACTGAGTTGTACTCTTCAAGCAACTGACTAATCAAATGATACTCGTTTTCTTGTCAACACACTCCATTCGTAAGGCGAGTAGGAGGATGGTTTTCTTTGTATGCGGAGCAGAGAGTGTGGAATTACTACTAACTAACTAGTAGTTAGTAAATGAGCTTTCCGAGTTGCCAAGGATTCCACCAGATTTCTTGTACCACTGTAGCCGGCTGTAGCCGGCTGTACGGGACGGAGGAATCATCATCATTATGCGACAACGCATCCATTATAAACAACACCCCAGTTTACCCCAGTTTCTCGGTAATGGTTTCCAATACTCGTAAAGGTTCTTTCCCCAGATCAGTACTCAGGACGAACTCGCTTATTTCCATCCTCACGACGTGATATTGTTCTGCATTAAGCTTGATACTTGAAAGACCCTACTTCACCCCATTTTCACATGTCCGTGCTGACATCACTGACTTCTGCCCATCGCAACTACCCGGAACCGTGACTGAAATTTCGACTTCACTTTTCTACGGCCCAAATGATGAGCGAAAATCCTACTTCACCTAACGCCATTCCTAGACGATCCAGCTCAACAGGTGTCATCAGTGGGATCGCCGGTCAACCCTCTAAACCCGTACTAAAACCTCTCCCTGAAGACAGCTGGATCTCCCCTGCGAACAAACACAAAACAATGGCTTCGTCAGCTCCCCTCACATTCACTTCCACCCCACTCAGTGACACGACCCATGTTAAGAATGGTGTCCTTTCTAGAAGACACTCGAAAAAAGTGTCCGGCAATTCCACGCTCTAGCGACTCAAATCCTTGTCAAACCCCCTCCGTCCTGAAGACATTTCGCAGTGGACAGCAGAGAAAGAAAAGATCATACTAGGTCCATACGACTACATGGATTCCAATCCGGGCAAAGATATTCGCTCTGCTCTCATCGCCGCCTTCAATGCCTTCTTACATGTACCTCAATCGTCTCTTGATTCCATAACGAAAGTAGTCGCCATGCTTCATACCTCCTCCCTCCTTATCGATGATGTTGAAGACAACTCCACTCTTCGACGCGGCATACCGGTAGCACACAGCATATTTGGAACCGCACAAACCATCAACTCCGCAAACTACGTGTATTTTCTTGCGCTGGAAGAACTGCAGAAGCTCACAAACTGGAAGGACGCAGTTGAGATCTTCTCGACGGAACTTCTGAATCTTCACCGAGGGCAGGGCATGGATCTGTACTGGCGCGATACACTGAGCTGTCCAACAGAGGACGACTATCTTGAGATGGTTCAGAACAAGACGGGCGGGCTATTTCGGCTAGCTGTCAAGCTGATGCAAGCTGAATCGCCCGAAAGAGGGCGGCTAGACTGTGTTCCTTTGGTGAATCTGATGGGCCTCATCTTTCAAATCTGTGACGACTACCTCAACCTGTCCAGCACCACCTACACCAAAAACAAAGGACTATGCGAAGATCTGACCGAAGGCAAATTCTCGTTCCCTGTGATCCACTCAATACGAACAAATCCCTCAAACCTGCAGCTCATCAACATCCTCAAGCAGAAGACCACAGATGAAGAGGTCAAGAGATACGCCGTCAAATACATGGAAGGCACTGGCAGCTTCGAGTACACACGGAGAGCTATTCGGGACTTGAAGGCAAAGGCTTACGGATTGATCGAGCAACTGGACGCGATGGTTGGTGCACAAGGAGAAGGGGTTCGAAAGATTCTGGAGAGGATTGATGTGGAGTAAAGCAAACATGGCGCTGGCGTAGAGAGTTGAGCGTTCACATCTGCTCCGGTTGGGGCCTTGATCCGCGACGATACCCAGCCTTTGCTACTGGTGAAGTGCACATTGTGTTTTCAACGGGCTGAAGGAGGGGCACATCCCTTACATACCTGATCACAGTTTCACCTTGTTCTTCTGCATGGTGCCGATTTAACAGCATATTTGAAATCGAAGATCTTTCAACAATAAGGACCCAATTTCCATTAAGTATAGTTGTCAAGGACGTTGGCCATTATACCCTCCCCTTGTCACGAACATCTGACATCATTTTGCGCTCTACATCATTCCCCAATGATCACTTGTTTCAAAGGTCAACTGACATTCCACCACTCCCACAAGGTCTTTGGGCAAGTCTGACTTGGACTCATTCTCTCCGCGTTGCTAGCAGGCATAACTGATTTCGCTGGAACCTCGATACTGGACCCTCGTGAAGCCTTTTCCATAATTTACCACTGTCACAGTCCTCTCTCAAAAAGAAGGCAGATGATGCTCTGTCCATCGAGAGAGGCCAGTTGCAATGTGTTACGAGAAAACAGCCATGGTTCCAATGGCAGAGGCTTGGAAGAGTTGGGCCGCAACGTAGACTTGTCACGAATCTGCGAAAGCCGCATAGGCATCTGGTAGGACATTGCCCGCACACAGAGGACTTCCACATGCGTACGTGATAATTAGAAGCAGATCAGGAAGTTAAGAGGACACGTGGCAGCAGGTTTCAGGGGATCTATCAATCAAGGGTGGTTGGAAACCATTAGCGCTGTTCTTCTGGCGGAATGGTTGAACCATCATTTTTCTGCATCAAGAGGAGATGGATGTAGAGACTCGGCCCAGCGAATGAATAGGCTTACAACAAACTCCATTCATGCATCCTTGAGAAGCATTGAGTGTTGGATGCAGAGAACCCCCAAGGGGGAAGGGAGAAGGGGGAAAGGGGAGGTTCTTTGAGGGTATCGCCGGAAAGAATCCTACAAGCGGATCCAGATATTGAGAAGTTTCCCATTTGAAAGCAGAGCAGAGAGAATTAAGACGAGAGCCGTAGATGGAAAGAAAGAGGCTGACTTCCCAAGACTGTTTTAGTTATGGACGGCGTATTTGCCTGTCGATATGGAGTGACTTGAAGCGAAGGAACTGAGCCTCGTCATATACGATGTTGTCAAGCAGGTAGAAGAAATGCTCTGTTCTCTCCCTCAAATTGGCGCAGAAATCAAGGATATTTAACTATTGTGCGTTCTATAAGTGTTGCGAATCCTTGGCGCGACCCAAAAATTGCTGTGCTGGCAGGGCAAAAAAGCGGTCAGAAAGAAGGAATCGCTAATTATGTAGTAAATAGGCGTAGATTTTGCTTATAAATGCTTAAGTAAGCAATAGCTGTATGCTCTTTATCTCCTTATCAAGTTTCAGTATAGAAAACTATAGTGTTAAGCTGTAGTAAGCGTTCAAATGCAGGCAAAGCCCCTTAGCGCCTTAATAAGTCTGTATAATATTAAAGGAAAAGGAGGATCTTGAGATTAAGGAGAAGGATCTTAAGGAGAAGTAAGGAAGAGGATCTCAAAAAGGAGGATCTCAAAAAGGAGGATCTCAAAGAGGAGGATCTCAAAGAAGAGGATAACAAGGAGAAGAATAGTAAGGATGAGGATAGCAAGAAAAAGGATCTTGAGGAGAAGGATCTTAAGCATCCCTCTCTTTATGATATCTTCTTCCTTATAAATATCTCTTTTTATATAAATATTCTCCTCCTTATTAATATCCTTCTCCTTATTATTTTTTTTATCCTCTTCCTTATCCTTCTTCTTGCTATCCTCCTCCTTGCTATCCTCCTCCTTTCTATCCTCCTCCTTTCTATCCTCCTCCTTAAGATCCTCCTTAAGATCCTCCTCTTTGCTATCCTCCTCCTTGCTATCCTCCTTCTTGCTATTCTCCTCCTCAAGATCCTTCTCTTCAAGATCCTCCTCCTCAAGATCCTCCTTCTTAAGATCCTCCTTCTTTTTAAGATCCTCTTTAAAGCGCACTCTACATTCAAATGTTTCTTACAATTCAACACCATAAATTCTATTTTAAAATTTCGGCAGCAAGGTCACGAGAGTCTAATTTACTATCCGGGCAATTTTGGGCATTCTACTATGATAATTAGGTAGTAAATGGCCTTTCTCTACCCTCATCATAATCTGCTCCGCCAGCACAGCAATTTTTGGGTTGCGCCAAGGATTCGCAACACTTTTGGAACGCATAATACTGTACTAAGTAAAGGCGCTGTGAGCGCGCGGACCAACAACAGCAATCTCTCGTACGGCCGGCGGATCAGGCGCGTAGTTCGTTTGACAGATGTACTGTCGACATAATTGATCAACATAGCGCCTTATCTCTCATCATCAAGAAGCCCACTTAGCACGGGCAGGAAGAGGCCCTCTTAAAATAATGCTAGGGGAGCCATTAAAGTGCGCTTAGACTAAACCTAACTGTAAGATTGCTTAGAGAATACAAGGATACACAGCTTAATCCTTTATAGTCTAAGCAAATCTTATTATCTAGAATGTATTTTGTTGAAAATATGATCATAGTATGGTCAAATTATGCTTCTCTTTGTCAGAATCCTTGCGTACATGATACGTATCTGTTACGTATTAGCATGATGGTACAAGGGTCCCCGCATGCAAAACGCACGAAACGCTCTTGTAACTGTTACGCCCTGTTATTTATGGCAGTGAGCATTGCTATACGAATTGAACGCCAAATGCTGTTTCTGAGCTGTTACAGTAATGCGCTTCTATAGCTATTAGTATGAGCAAATGCTCCTCTTGATAGGAGTAACTCAATCAAGTGAATTGGCACCGCCGTCCGCTGTTTGCTACCATCCTCTAACACTCTTATCATATTAGTATGGTGGTCATTTGACGGAATAGCTGTCATTTCCACTAACAGCACTTACTACGTAACTCATATCTTTAGCTAGCCCTTCTCATGGTAAGTAATCCTTCAAGCTAGCACAAGGCGTTCTGTTTTCGTCATGGAGTATTGCATCGATTGTCGTAAGGACTAAACCTTCAGCCCCTCCATTGAACCCTTCCCTGCTTCATCACGCTTACCACGCCCACTGGCACCCTCGCCTCATCCACGAGTCTTACACTGCCGTACTTCTGCACCACCTCCGCCCCATGAACAGCCAGAACCCATTTCCAATACGGCTCCATAGAGGACCAATTTCGGTAAACTCCCGACCCAAGACCTCCGCCATTGCTCCTGTCGGCCATCGTTTCCGCTGGCAAAGCTTCCAACCAACTCGCAATTTGTGGCGTCATGTCAACTTCCTTTTCCTGAGGTATTGCCAGCAGCTCCGCATACACAGCCGCCAGATTTCCGCTCTTCTCTTCACGGTAGCGGAGAAACTCTTCCATGGGCATAAAGTTGTCATTATCACCCTGCTGTGCCCTGATCTTGCTCTGTAGCTCGAGGTTACTGTGCCGCCCCAATCCAGCACCTGCATCATTCTTCACGAACCGCTCTTTGGCAACATGGTACTCCTCTTCGTCCTTATCTAGTGCTCGTTCCAGCATCTTTTCCGGAGATCTGCGGATATAATCACGCATAGAGAAGAGAGGAATAAGTGGGTTTCTAAGCTCAAGCCCACCCATGCGGATAGGGAAGTAGAAGAAGCCATCTGGAAGATCTTTGACTCTGAATCGTTCTTCGATGATTTGCCGGAGGTGGTCGGTAACGGAGCCGTTGGGGAAGAGCGCTCGTTGGATACGGCCGAATGTTTCGATCATCATATCGATATGTGCGTGCCCGAACGCGAAAGATGGTTTGCCGAAGTTGTTGCTGAAGAAGCGTCCTAGGTAGGCATTATAGGCTTGAATCCAGGAGAAGATACTGTTGCAATGGGAAAGTTGGAGTTTCAACTCTTTGATATGATCATCCACTTGGCTCTGGTCGATTAAAAACCGTCCTGTTTGCGAGTCGAGGCGCAGGAATCCCCAGCGAACTTCGCCCTTTGGCAGATTATCGGTGGTAAGTACAGCGCCCTTCCCGGTCCTTCTGCTTCTCGAATCATCTTCTGAACCGCTCTCTAGGTTGCCTTCTGATTCGCCTTTTACCACAGCTTCGGCGGAAGCGGCTGCCTGGTTAGCTCTAGAGCCTAGTCGCACGGTGCCTGTCTTCTCCTCGTTGAACTGAATACCCATAATGCTGGCAAACTGTGTCATGGCTCTCCACGCCTTCCGACAATCATCCTCTTGACCCCAAAACCAAAAATCGTCATGAAGACGGTACAGAATTGATCCATGAGTCATTTGGTTGACGGCGTAGTCCATACAGAACAACACGACTTCGCCAAGCAAATCACTCAACGCATGAGACATTGGTACACCTCTGACTCGTGTCCTGACAGTACCTTGGGGACCATCTTGCGTAAATCGAAGAGGCGCTTCAAGGAAACGGGTGAAAAAGTCAATCCATGTCCCGCCCATGCCAAAGAATCGAAGGACGGCAAAGATAGTACTATGCGGTAAGGAAGGGCCAAACCATTTGAAGTCCGAGCGGACGACAGTAATATCGCCACATAGTCGGGTAGCCAATTGAGACTCGGTGATGAGAAGATGAAGCAGACTATGTTTGATCTCGAGGGGACCTTTGCGTGTTCTATCGGCCTCATCATCCGAATCGCCTTCGTAGGTTCGACCTCCTTCCGAGATATCCTCTGGGAGTTGCGTCATAAAATAATCCTCATAGTACTGATCGCGACGCTTCTCGTGTACGTTAGAAACACTAGATCCTTGTGTCTCCTCGCCCAAGAAGTACTCACGTCGCTCTTTGTCAAGCTTCGGAATGGTGCGGTCACCTCTACGCCATGCTCGTGATCGAAAGAATTTGGTGAAGACGTTCTTGAACTCAACCGCCCAACGAAGAGCGATCCCATGCAACAAGAGAGCGTCAAGCACGTCTTCGTCCATGAAAACCCTGTATTTGCCGTTGAGCTGCTTACGCATCTCCAGTGGAATCGCATCTCCCTCACCAGTGGACCATGACCATGTAGATAGTGACATCAACCTCATGTTTAATACATCGCAGATCTCGGGGAGAACCTCTTTGTTGCTCATGAATGTTTTAAGAATGGCGTTCTTTTCCTCGGACAGCAAGTCGGTCAAGACCAGACCTTTGATAGTTACCTTCAGATAATCAGGATCAAACCGACCAGAGCGTGTCTCAAAGCCGGCGCTAAAAGCTCGAACCTGGGTACGTATGTCCTTAAGAGCTTTAGCTTTAGTCTTGGTAGAAGTAAAAAGCTTGGTAAGGTAGTCGTTGATAACGTCCGGATCGATGTCGCTTCTGGTGAAGACAAGAGACTCCCACTGTGCGCGTTGCTCGTACATCTCCTTCCGGCCAATATTCTCGAAAGAAGATGTGCTACTGGCAAGTTCATCAGAGTTTTCAGTAATTCCCAAATCCGCCTCATCAGAGTCTGATAGCCATTCTGTGACCAGTTTCGAGAAGAATTCCGCATGAATGTGACCTTGGCTCTTTAGTTCGAGGTCCCTCAAGAGCTCATCGCCAAATTGTCGAAGTATTGCCGGAGAGAACGAAGGATCAGCTTGTGCCTGACGAAGGAAGCGTCTTTTGTTCCGCAAACTTTCCGACAGCTGCCGGTCTACGAGTTCAGAAGGGTCATCCGTGGAATCGGGGTAGTCTTCGAGTCCAGAAGGGTCATCCGTGGAAACGGGGCAGCCTTCGATGCGGCAAGTACCATCAAAAAGAGCTTTGACCTTGGAAAGTAGATCGGTTTGATGATCAGCAGTCTCGATAGTGTGTCTCTTCGAGGTCTCGTAATCGCTACGTTGTTTCGCGACCTCCGCAATCTTGGTTGCTGTGATGCCCTTCAAGGTAGCGGGAAGTGCTGCGGACACAGGCATCTTTATTTCTTGTACGAGTTGACAAGAGAACTAAGCGTTCGAGTGGGCCAGGTTGGATGATGAGGGAGAGTAGGTAGAAAGAAGGTGGAGGTTCAGACGGACAACTTGAAGAACGTACGAAGGTAGGGTGAAGTAAATTGACGCTGCCTATTGTCTGACTTTCGAGCTTGTGCAAAGACAGGTTGAACACTGAGGGGAAGCAGGATTGAAAACGAACGGAGTAGCATTAATATAGTGAGGAAAAGTGCCGAAGCTGAGAAACCCCTTTGTTTACTAGCTTAGTGTTTTCAGGCCACCAGCGAGCAGAGAACACCAGTGAGGTCAAGGAAGAAGTTGGTGACTCATAATGTAGCAGTGACAACCATGCAAGAGCAAGCCTAGACATCCGCCAGAGTTCCTCTGAGTCCTTCCAGAGACATTCTGATTAACCTATGCTAGGGTCATCGTTGATAGATTCGAAATGGATAGGTGCTATCTCCAGGGGGCCTTAACATAAAGTCGCAGGTAACTCTAAGCACTATTCAAGCCAAATGGAACGGAAGATGGTCAGATCAGCCGAAGCTGGAGGATATTGTAGTCAAAAACCCTCAAAACATTGGCAACGAATATGTTTTAGCCCAAAATGGTGCTCAGGTAGTATGGAAGAATGCCAATGCAATCGGCAGGTGGCCTGAAAACTGCCAAAGCTAGCATATAGCATACCGTAGTATAGTAGACGCTGCTTTGAGTAGCACGTTGCATGGACCTAGCTTGCCTGGTGCAAAGATGTCAGAGTGATCTTAGTAGCATCCGTGGTGCATTAGCTAGGAAGACATCTGAAATTCCCACTTTTTTTGCGCTGTGAATCAGCTCGATTCACTACCACTGGCAGTAGTCAACCAGCGGAAATAAGTCTGGACGGAATTAAGATTTGACTCAAGCCACGGCATTCCAAGGGAACTTGCATGAAAAAGTGCCTCTGCTGGTCATGATGCCTGCCATTGAGCTATCTCGACTTCCTTGTTGGTGTCTTTGGTTCTTGCTTCCTGTCATGGTTATCTCCGTCCACCCCAACCCTCCTCACCGTCCTCGCCCACCTCCGCCTTCGCCATTCGCCTGTCCGGCCTCCCCACGTTGTACTTTCCTCCCAGTCCTTGCCTGTGCTATAAATGACCTTCTTCATTTTGTCTTTCTTCCCGTTGTTCTTTGTAGATCCCCCATCATCGTCATCGTAGACCACCCATTTCTCCTCCACATTTACTAGACTATTGGGTGTTGCCAAGTCGGATACCCATCCCCCAAAGCCCGTACTTACAGGCCCCCCATCTAAGGCGACATCAAATTCCACGCCAGTAATCAATCGTTCCGAGACCCATTCTCGAGCCTCAAGATCGAGTTCCCATTTCTTTCCTTCCCAAACCCATCCACGTGGAGGTTGGACGTCTTCAAAGAAGCGGGTACCCCTTGGTCTGTCACCCGATATCCGAATCGGGGACAGTGGATCGTATGGTGTAGGTGTAAAAAGATGGGGTTCCCATTGTTCTACCGAATTGAAGGGCGAGGATCGATGTTGGAGTTCAAAGATTTCAACTTCACGGATTTGTGGAGCCGTGTCAAGCGTTATCGCAGAGAACGCGGCCAATGCAGACTTCAATGCCGCTGGTGAGGTGGGAACAGACAGTCCCAAAAATTTCCTGGGATGTTTCGAAAGTCTCGAGGATTCTTGAGCTTCCGCATCCAGTACTTCTGCCTTTTCTCTGGCCTTTACTTCCATTTCTTGCAGCCATGCTTGCGCCGCAGGATGTCCTGAGCATATAGCAACAATCCCTCCGAAGAGTAAGATGAAACGCCAGGGGAAAAGATGAGCTGCAATGAACAAGACCGCCGTTACTATACAAAGATATAGGAAAAGCGCGGACGAGAACACTTCATTGCTGAAATTGGTTGGCGGTGCGATGGCAGCAATCAAAGCATCGTGGAGGACTGTAAAATCTGCCATGCTATTCTGAAGATCGCGCATGTTTCGGAAAAAGTCTTTGGACGTCTCAGAAGCCGGCTTGATAGTCTTTGGAGGCGCTAAAGCAGGACCACTGATCGAATAGTATGGCGTGATGGAAGAAGTAGAAGACGATGGAGGAGGTGGTGGATGTCGTGTCAGAAAAGCAGAAACCATAATACACAGAAGCACAACAGCGAAGGGGAGAACGACAAGCAAATATGGATCCAGGCATACAAAACAGTAGATAGCTAGGAGTGATAGTGTATGCGTTGGCACAGTCCAATTGTACAGGTGTATGAGTTGGTTCTGGAACACGAAGACAATACCAATTCTGGCATTGAACCGGCGGAAATTGTTCGTCATGAGTGGAAGGCTAAAAGCAGGCCGGCGGACATATTTGGATGACCTTTTGTCAACTGAGTTCTCTCCATCTTCGCTGTCTTCGATTGGGATCACTTGCTGTATAACCCTGCTCTTGTCAGTGGTTGATGTAGAGGTACAGAGACTCTCCTACTTCGCAATGAGACGTTCGTGCAATGATGGACTGGATGTACTGCCATCAACTTTATCTTCCTGCGCTTGGCTAATGTCCTGCATCTTCTCCTTCATCTTCGAAACTGAAAGTGCTTCCTTCAGTCTCTTCCTCTTCCCGTCTCCTTCCGCCTCAGACGTGGAAGCATCTTCACTGTTTGTCACCGTGAGGACTGGTACTGGCTCATCCCGGTTGGCAAATACGTCCGCTGCGCCCTGATGCATCGCTATGGGTTGTGAATCTCAATTTCTCCCCCCACATCAATCAAAGTGGAAGTAATATACCAATCCACAGTGACAAGTAGTACTGTACGGACCTGAGGAGTTGTGGCGTTTTTGGCATGTGGCCGCAATTGTCCGACTTGTCCCTTTCGAGGTATGTAACCCACTGATCAGCGTCAGGGGCTCGATTCTTCCAGCAGCTTGGAAATGGAGAATCTCGCCGTAAAAGACTGACTGTCAGATCTTCCCACGGCGGCTGCGAAAGCAGGGAGACGTTTTACTGATACAAAGTATATATTCCGGCCCGGTAGAAAGCTGGAATCTGCAATCGAAGTAGAGATTCAATGTAGTTCTTTGTGTGATAGAAATCATAGGATGCGTTCCCGAGTTGTGTATTTGTCTTTGGCACTACCCCAACTTTCTCATTTGATTACACCTCAGAAGGCTCCCCTTTGCACGTCTACCTAATCACCCACCTACCGACCCTCATCCCCAGTTCACAAGTGAAGATTACTCTCCTCGACGTCAGGCTTCGCTGGACGATGCTGATGTTTGAGATGCTCAATCCCTAGACCATTTCTTACGGCTACCGGGGTTGGTTAAGTCGAAAATGTCTCCTTGAATAGGTCGCGATTCTCCTGACCCTGTCAGTTGTTCCTAGGAAAGTGGCAGTTGAGACGAGTAGCGGATAAGATACCACTGATGAAGGCCCTGCGGTTACCTTAGATCGTGTCCTGCCCCACAAATCTTCGCTGGAAACAAACCCCCATCCCGATCACAATGCCGGCCAGGGTGGCTTCACAACAAACGACTACCGGTACGAGAGTTAGAGCGGGAAGCAACAGTCAGTCGCAAGCATCAAATAATCTGGGAGGCAGTGAATGGGAGTCGAGTGGTACGTGGAGATTATCAGCCCCTGCCTAGAAAGGGTGGCTGCAGGAATTCAGCATTCACGGATATTGATTATGGTGCAGAAGCTTCATCACGAAATCGTCTTCAGAAGAAGCCCTCGAATCCCTCTGTGAACGTGCAGAGTACATCCTTCCTGCCCTCTGCGCATGTCCGTTCCAGCAATGCCGAGTCCCAATCTGGGTTTGCAAACCGTAAAAGGCAGTTGTCGATTCACAATCAGAAGGGACCCTTGGGTCCTCGACCCTTGGATGCTTCGACAGGAAAGAGGTGTGAATCTACGCATGATTCCTGATTATGTTCATAAAACTAAAGCATGGTTTTGATAGATCTTTCAGCAACGTAGCCCAACCACATCCTTCCGCAACGGTGAACGATTCGCATTCTCCTCATGAGCGACAAGAGCCCATCAATAGCATATCACGTTTCAGCTTTGCGTCCATAAGTCCAGAGAACTCGAACCCTTGGGAGTTCGAGAAAAAGGCGTCGGTTGACTTGGGTGGGGATCTCCTTACGTCAATAAACTTCGACGATTTCCACAGCAATATCACATCCACCGAGCCTGCCTTCGACCAGCTTAATTCTCCTACCGTTCCCGCCAAAAATACCCCAAGACCTGATGAGACCTCGATTATACCGCGGCCTATAAGCAAAACGGGCAGTGTTCGAAAAGCATCAGGATCAGGATCAATTGGTCGTGCAGAATCACTGAAGCGCCAACAGAGCAATACTCCGACCACCGCGAGCCGGCATACCTCCAACTCGGAATCCATGCAAGCTCCGGCAGCTACTCCAGTGCTCCGAAGTCGTAGACAGAATCATTTTCCACCCAATTCATTCAACAACAGCAACCCTGCTCCAAGAGCACCCCGAAAATCCATTGGTCCAGGGACGTTTGCGGTCCCAGATTCTACAGAAACCGCACCACCTCGGAGGCGACCCAGTATCGGCGTACGTAAGTCTGCTACGGACAAAGACACGTTGGGAATGTCAGCGCGCCAAAGCAGCCGTTCTGGGGAGGCGGGAGAGGCCTCGAAATCTGCTGCAACTGGGAGGAGTCTGAAGGCGAAGTCCCTTCAGCCGCCTAGACGAGAGAATAGCAATGACCATTTAACGCCTGCTCGAACCCCTGATCTCTCTCCATCATCTTCGACAATCCTTTCGCGAACACTCAGAAAATCCTCTGCGCGTACCGGAACGCCTTCCTCTTCCACAAATAGAAGAGTTTCGGTTATACAGCATCATGCCACTGGATTGGGTGCAAGGACCATCAGTCCGACAGATGCGCGAAGGCTGAAGCGTCTGTCAATGATGCCTCATGCACCACCTATGCCTGCAAATACCATGCCTCATACACCAGTAGCACCCGAGTCTGAGCCGCTTCCTCGACGACCACGATCCACAGCTCAGTCACCGGCATTGAACTCTCGCAAGAGTGTTACACCTTCTTCCACCAGGACAACTCCGGATCCAAATCGTAAATCTTATAGCTCTGGTCAGTCGTTATCATCAAGCACTAGCTACAATTCTGTCAGAAACTCAACGGCGGGTCCGTTGCCACGGCTGCCATCAGGGGTCATCTCTTCTTCCCGTTTGCCTACCCCAAAACCTCGACAGGACAGCACCAATGGCAATGAGACCGAAGAAGTACCCCCAGTGCCAGCTATTCCCAAGGCATTCGAGTCCCCCCAAAGCGAAACAGAACAACCATTCTTCTCTGCGCGATCTTCCAGCTTGCCTCAAGTGGATACTCCCATTAGTGCCAGTCCAACAGTGGAATCACTGGCTGATGCGATGGCTGCCCTTGAGACTCCAATAGATGCAGAACCAATTTCGCCCAAACCATCCCTCACATCTGATACTGAAGTAAGGTCGAAACCTGGCCCTGCTGTGAAGAGGAAGGGATTGCAACCATTAAGATTACCCCCAATCAATCTTTTGCCGCTCAGCACGCCAACAGCTACAAAGATCATGGCATTGGAAAATGTGACTTCTCCAGACGACAGAGCTCATACTCCACCTTCAAGAGGTCTGAATGTGAAGACTCCCAGCACTCCAATGACGGCTTCGAGGGTTAACTTCTCATCACGGACTTACCACGATAATGAACCCACCCCTGCGATTGATATTAGGAGCAGTAGTTCGCATCATGCTCTCCGCGGTGATTTTGAGGCTTTTGCTGCGGCGATGGGTTCGAACAACAACATACCCTTTGCATTTTGCACTTCGAACACCGCTCCACGCAACATATCTCCATTCATCTCCTCTTCATTGCCAAAGAGTGGTGGTGAATTTGCGAACTACATGCAGCCCAAATACGGCGGGGAGCTGAACCGGAGAAGCGTTTATGCAAAGCCCACTGGACCAAGAGCACCAAGTTTCTCGCACAACAACACGCAAGAGGAGAAGACTTCGCCCCATGAAACTGAGTCGTCTTTTTCGACGTCTGCGATCCGACGCAAGTTGAGCCTGACTCGCCGGAGAAGCACCTCGAAAACACGGGAGAATTCAGAAAGCGATGTGGCAGCCAAATACACCAGCATGCCGCCTCCGAAGCTCCCCGCGTCGGCCACTTATGGCAGCCTTGCCGTCACGGATATAAGTCCTACACAAAAGCAGAACTACCTCCAATCTCGCCGGAAAACGTCTGCCTCGAGCTTCGGTACGAACGGGCCCAACGAAGCAGATCAAGACTTTCAAGGTAATCACAGTCCAAGAATAGAAGGTCTTCCGTCCATGGAGTCCAACCGCTCACTCAATTTTCGCCCTGACCGATCGTCTTCTTTGATCTCACCTCCGCAGAATGTGTACTCGCCCCGATCTGTCAACCAGCTCAGACCCCAAGATATCGATCTTGACCGTGACGATCTGATCGCCGAGGAGGAAATGAAGAAGCTTGCGACAAAGCGGAAGGATGCAGAATCGGCAGCACGCGAGCTTGATGCTCTTCGCCGCCGTGCCTGCCCAAGGGATCGTGCATCACCTTTGCAAGTCCTACAAGCAGCCAATCTCAACATCTTCGAGCGAGGCGAGATAGTGGACTATAATGACGTGTATTTTACCGGCACCCGCATCGCGAAGAAGATAGCTGGAGATTTGGACGCTTCTACTACCAATTTCGGCTATGACGACGAGCGTGGTGATTATAACATTATCAGTGGCGATCATCTCGCGTATCGATACGAGGTGATTGATTTGCTTGGTAAAGGAAGCTTTGGCCAAGTCGTCAGGTGTATCGACCACAAAACCGGCATTCTTGTGGCTATTAAGATCATTCGGAACAAGAAGCGCTTCCATCAACAAGCTTTGGTGGAAGTCAACATATTGCAGAAATTGCGTGAATGGGATCCAGACAACGAACACAGCGTGGTGAAGTTCGATCAAAGCTTTTATTTCCGTGGTCATCTCTGTATATCAACAGATCTCTTGGACATGAATCTCTACGAATTCATCAAGGCCCACGAGTTCCGTGGCTTCTCTTTGAAGCTCATACGACGGTTCACGAAGCAGCTGTTGAACAGTCTCATCCTTTTGAACGGTCACAAGGTCATTCACTGCGATCTCAAGCCCGAAAACGTCCTTCTAGCTCACCCCATGCATTCAGAGATCAAGGTCATCGATTTTGGTTCAAGCTGCTTCGAAAATGAGAAAGTCTACACTTACATCCAATCTCGGTTCTACCGCTCACCAGAGGTCATACTAGGCATGTCCTACGGTATGCCGATCGATATGTGGAGTCTGGGTTGTATACTGGCAGAACTGTATACAGGCTACCCCATCTTCCCGGGAGAGAACGAACAGGAGCAGTTGGCATGCATAATGGAAGTTTTCGGCCCCCCGGAGAAACACTTGATTGAGAAGAGCAGCCGCAAGAAGCTATTCTTCGATTCTATGGGCAAACCCCGCTTAACTGTCTCATCCAAGGGACGTCGCAGGAGGCCAAGCTCGAAAGAACTCCGTCAAGTCCTAAAATGTGATGATGAAGCGTTTGTTGATTTCGTTGCAAAGTGTCTTCGCTGGGATCCTTCTCGTCGACCTAATCCTCATCAAGCCATGGCGCATGAATTCGTGACAGGTACAAAGCTCAATACTCGCCGAGCGCAGGCGGTCGGTGCTACGAACACGCCAATGAAACGACTAAACTCAATTACGACACCGTCTACTACTAGACCTCTACCACAGTTACCCTCCACAAGTTTCAAGAACGGATCATATCCCAGGCAAATGGAAGTAGCATTGAATTCGCCCAGCAAACCTATCCCAAAAAGGCAATCAACCATCAGCGGAACGCAGACTTCTTTCGCGGCGAAGCGGGCTTCTCATGTACCACCCATGGCAGCTGGCTCGACCATGCCAAAAGTGATACATGGCCAGAGAAGTGTAAGCGGAAGGCCAGATTTGGCAACCGCTGCCGCTGCCGCTGCAAGCTTGGTAAGTTGTATTGACTTATAACTCTCTCGCGATTATGCTAATGCTTTGCAGAGATTATAAGGCTTGCCATGAATGAGACTTTTCAGGCACTTGCGAAAGAGTATATACCATAGGGTTGGTGTGGCGTCTGGCATTTTGAATCTTCACACATGGTGGCTTCATTGAGTCATGATATACCCCCCAGTGCATTTGGCAACTGATGGGTAGTGCATGCGTAGCAATGCATGACAGTAGGGCTGTATCCTTCTGACAGTAGGGTGGTTTATGATTACATATAGTATGGGAGATATCCAGGGTAGAAAAAATTGTCCTTAGCCAAGGATGAGAAATATGAGTTGGACCTTTCGAACACTCCTGTACTCTGGTCTACCTTTGTGAGTCGGAGATCAAGGGCTTACAGCAGTCTTTAGTAGAGTACTTAGGCCTGCAAGCATTCGTGAATAAGTCACTTTAACAAGTCGTCCCTACTTCCAGTCTATTATCCCGCGTACAGATAATGATCGGCGCTCTCTACCAGTGTATTGCGCCTAAATTCTCCTTACGTTGACATTACACACAACCGAGGGTAAACGTGACTCTATAACGTATCTTCCTATACATTTTAGCGATGCAGTTGCTAGTGTACAATCTTAAATTTATCACCTTTTGATTTTCCGACGAGAAATACTCCGTACATACTTGATTTTCCTTCGTTTATGCTAATAGAGAGCCATTGCCCGCATGTGCGACAGCCAATCGGATTTTGATTTGGGGCCTTTTCCATCTACGTAGTATTGGAAAGAGTACTCCGTAATAAAGCTGCCAAAGTGCCAAAGCCGATTGGAACACGTACTTATGTTCCTTGGTGCCAACTGATGTTGCTCACACTGCCACTGTGATGCGCTTCCCTGGAAAGACCATCAAGAGCGTAAGCGGAGCTAATCAGATGCCCTCGGGGAGCGTTTAATGAACTCATATACACTCTCAAAAGATACAATGATTGCTCGGCCTTGACCAGGACCCACCCCACAGAGCCTTTGCTGAGGAGCACTCTGCCAAATTACTTGGACTTATTTCCATAGCTTCCTTGGGATGGGTTGCGGAAAAAGTTGTCATGTGACTAAGTACTTGGGACGACACTTGATAGATACGCGCTTCTAGTTAAGTAGTGTGCCGCATTCTCGCAGCATGGTTGCTTCACGGGCTAGGTGTGGCAGAAGGAGGGCAAATCATCTAAGAATCAATGAAATAGAGTTTATAATCATTATCCGTTTAGAGCCTTCTGAAAAGACTCTCTGGCAGTACAGATGATTATACTGTACACCAAGACCTGTGTACCTTCTTAGCTCACAGCTAAAGAACAGCCTAAACTTGGAGACAAAGCATCCAATACACCTTCGCTCTCCCATTCAGTAGGGAAGAAGTCTACCATGTCGTCCCAATCGGAACCCATCTACCCACTACACCTCCCACCACCATTCCACAAAATCTCCCCTCCACCCCTCCTCGTCACCCAAGGCGCAGAAGGCCACTTACTCAAGACCGTCTTCCTCGACTCCAACACGCCGGCCGCATTGAAAGTCCGACCCTCGAAGCAGTACCGACACCCTACGCTGGACCGGAGATTGACGAAGCAACGGGTCCTTGCCGAAGCGAGGATTTTGGTCAAGCTAGGAAACTTGGTGGTGGGGGTGCCCGGGGTTTATGGGTTGGACTGGGTTGGTGAGGGGAAGGGCACAGGTAAGGGGAGTCGGAGTGGGAAGGAGGAGACTGGTTCCGTGGGAGCGGAGGTTGGGGAGGGATCTGGGGAGGGATCTGGGGAGGGATCTGGGGCTGGGGCGTGGTTGCTGATGGAGTGGATTGAGGGGAGGAGTGTAAAGCAGCTGTTGCAGGAGAGGGATCGGTTGGAGAAGGCTGGGGCTGATCTTGTGGGTCTTGCGGATGAGGAGGCGGTGAGGAGGCTGCTTAGGAGGGTGGGCAGAGCGGTGGGTGAGATGCATTCGGTTGGGGGGGTGGTGCATGGCGATCTCACGAGTAGCAATATTATGGTGCGACCGACTTCACAAGGGGGCAAGACTGACGGTGAAGCTCATGCCGTGGATCAGGATCTTAGCCTTGAGGGCGAGATCGTGCTGATTGATTTTGGACTGGCAACGCAGAGTATTCAGGATGAAGATCGTGCGGTGGATCTCTATGTGCTGGAGAGGGCTTTTGGCTCTACTCATCCAAGGCAGGAGGGGATGTTTGCGGAGGAGGTGCTGGAGAGTCAGGATGGCTACCGGGGTTCTTTCAAGGGGAGCCGAGTGGTGCTGAAGAGGCTAGAAGAGGTCCGACTACGAGGTAGGAAGAGAAGTATGGTTGGTTGATTATTCAGAAGACAGAAGTCGATTGCTGCAACCACTATCGAGTAGCACGATCTGCGTTCGATCTTCCATGACGAAATTCACTTCACGATATCGAAGACTGCCTCCAACGCCATGCTAAAAGTCAAAGTTAGAAGGACCAGGTCATGCCCAAGTTACGACTCCTCTCCAATACACGACCCAACCTGGGCCATGGCAAAGTAACCTTTGTTCTCGATCACACCACGATCTTCCACCACAGCAGTATACTTGATGACCCACTGTGGCGCGATATCTCCTTTGAGTCCTCCATCGTCTGCATCGGCCGTTGCCGCCAGCACACCAGCACCTTGATTCCGGGGTCCAAGGAGTTCACGTATTGTTCCAGAAGGTAGGATATCTGTACAGTCGTTGTGGGTTAGCAACTCAATACTTTCCTGCTTCGCATACATAATCAACGTTTTGGGTACCACGCAACAATCTTTGACGTTAATTTGGTCCTTGCTCGGCCTGATCTTCGTCTGGGGGAGGAACTTCGCTAGTCGATCTGAACTGAATTCCGAAACCCCAAGTTTATCAATAATGCCATTGTCATGGAACGCCTCCAGCACTCTCCACGTTCTAACCATTGTTTCCATCCCATGAGCGCTGTCATCGCTGACCGCGCTGTCGTCCTCCGCGGATGAGGTTTCAGAGTCACCGTCGTCATCAGCGTCAAAGGATACGCCAGGATAAGAAACGATAAGCAGATCTATGGACTCCGCTCCGAGCTCCTTTAGAACAAGGGAAATTGCTTGCTTAGTGTGCTCACATCTTCTAGATGGCGGTATCCCCGGGAGATAGAAGAGCTTGACAGTTATCTTGTAAGAAGATCTCGGCTCCGCAAGAGGCGTGGGCTCATGCGCAGGTATGTAGAGAGTGTCACCTTCTTTGCGTGTCCAAGATGGATATCCGCTCTTTTGCGGTGGGGTGCCATCGGAGGTTTCAGAGAGGGAGGATGTAGAGGAGTCGGCACCAGTGATAGACGCAGCAGCCTGAGCTTCGACGATGTTGGCACGCAAGGAATTTATGAGTTCGACGTTCGACTTGGTGACGGTAGGGCGTCGAATGACCGAAGAGCCGCTGGTCATAATATTTCTGTACGCAAGTTCAGCAGGTATGATTGTTCCGGGACTCGAGTGGCACTGTACGAGGTGGACAATATCAGCTTCATCCTGGCAACATTACACCACGATGGTGATCTTCAAGCTCTGTTTCGGGTCCCTCAAGTGAATCGATGACACGATATCAAGTGAGGTTAACTTCTTTCCAAGGTGAGGAAAATGGAAAGGCACATCCGGGTTCAGCCACGAGCTGGAGGGGCATTGAGGCACCGACTCGAAATAATTTTCCCATATTTATTTCCACACCGCACATTATTGATCAACCCTTCTACACCTGCGTTTCACGGTAGAATGGCCATCAAGTACGATTGCTACATCTCATCTCAAAGGAGGTCCCCTATTGACACGTAATAGCTATCTCATTCTGCTGTCCAGGCAGGGCAAAGTTGTATGTTCTTGTAATTTCTGGGCCCCGTGGTCACCCACCTCACTGATCTCAGTCTTGTGCTGACCGCATGTTCTTCCCTCTAGCGTCTAGCCAAATGGTTTACCACTCTGTCCCCGAAAGACAAGGCCAAAATCATCAAAGATGTCACACAGCTTGTGCTCTCGAGGCGTACACGCATGTGTAATTTTCTGGAATACAAAGGTACACCAGATATTGGCGCAGAAGATCTTCTCGATATCCTGCCCAGGGTATGGATACGTGAGAGAGTCCATGGGCTGACGCGATGCAATGCTCTTGCAGATACCAAAGTAGTTTATCGAAGATATGCTTCCCTTTTCTTCATCGCAGGCTGTTCCTCAACCGACAACGAACTTATAACATTGGAGATTGTTCACCGCTATGTCGAGCAAATGGACAAGTATTACGGCAATGTGTGCGAGCTAGACATCATCTTCAACTTCCAGAAAGCATACTTCATCCTTGACGAACTTTTGCTCGCTGGGGAAATGCAGGAAAGCAGCAAAAAGAATGTCCTGAGATGTATCGGTCAGGAGGATAGCCTTGAAGACATGGAGGTAGGTCAATAGCATATGTTGCTGTGGTTATTATCTGGCCTGGTGATCCTCATGGTTGTTATTTCCATGCACGGTTCCATACAAGTGTTTGCCAGACTAATTGCAAGCTTTTGATGATCAGATCGATGACGAAAGTATATCGAAGATCATGTGAAGACTAGCATCATTGACCTGCCTGTTATCCTCTTTGCGTACGCGATATATTTCACCCACCACTGCCTTTGGAGAGCTGCCCAGTCCATCATCGATGATCTTGGTTAGTCTTGCTTGGTTATCCCCGTCGCACAGCCATCCAAAGCCCTTGCATTGAAAAGATATTGACCTATGTTTTCTAATAGGAAATCGAACCGTTCTTGAAAGAATTGGGGGTATAAGAGCATGTTCCGGCGATTGGCGTTATTGGCCTGGGATCTAGCATGCATGGGCTTCGAAAAAACGAAGTCAAAGACTCTCTGTGCTCAATCCGCAAAGATATCATGTACTACCGACTGATAACCACTGAACAATGATACCCAATGCGAAGTACTCCGAAAGCTGTCCCACTAACAGAATTGTTTCCTCAGTGTCTATCTCGTATGGGAGTCGACCTCATCCTGGCCGAGTCACTGCAAGCGCATCATCCCTTTTCCGGATGGCATATCCGGATGGAGTTCATTCAAGCCGGAGGAATGTTGTGCTTGATTCCACTACCATTGCCTCGTGCCGTCTTTCTGCCGCTCATTGGCGGAGTCACTCACGTGACACTCTCCGTGCCAAGATCTACGCAACCTTCAAGTTCCGCATGCCAACCTTGAGATGATGTTCTCCTTCCAGATCAATATCGAAATATCATCAACATGGCTATTCAACGTGTCTCCATCGCCTGCTAGACGGTCTCCGTCTGGCTATCTGCTCCGATTTGTCTTGTCTCTGCAGCCAGCTTGGACAGACTTATCAGTGATCATTTAGCTCCGTTGGGCAACAAACAAATACACAACATCAAACAAAGACTGTAGCATCAAATCGTGACAACCGATCATTGCGCCGCCGACAACGTAGTGAACTCCATCCTATTTGAACCACGCGCTCATCGGGACAAATGCGCTCGAAGCCAGGCTCAACTATCTATCGCAATGAAGGTGAGCCCTACATGAAGATACCTGCCCATCAAATCTTTCTATCCATGCTGATGCGAGTCGAGTAGTTTGTTCCGAATCGCGATTTCGACAACGTTACCTCTACCCTTAATTTCTCTACACCGGACCTTCATGTCCTTGGTGGTTGCGACCTCTACATCACCAAGGCAGCCGGTGGTGATAAGAAGCTGTACAAGAATATCGAGAATGGGCTGGAAGCGCAATACCAGAACAATCTGATTTTCTCAAATTCTCTGTCTCCTCCACAGGCGCATCTGTTAGCACCAAGCCTCAACTTAAGTAGGAGTAGTCCGTTTGGAAACCTTGGTCAGATATCGAGTCGCAGGACATATGCGTACTTGATAGCGACACTCAACGCGTCACACCCGGACTACGACTTCAGCCACGTACTCCGACCGTCAGATTTCAAGAGGGAGCGGAGTTTGCGGGCGGTTATGAACAACCTGGACACCACGTTGTATAACTTGCGCCCACGACCTGCAACACCATCTTTCGCAGCGGACGGGCAAATACCATCTTCTGCATCGAGTGGGTTAACTTGGGGCCCAAGGACTTGGAGACTGATTGATCAGCAGATGAGACTCAAGGAATGTACGATATATCGATATGCGCCGGACGATTATGACATCTTCGAGGAGGACGAAGAGGGCGCAATCTGGAGTATGAATTATTTCTTTTTCAACAAGGCCTTGAAGCGAGTCTGCTACCTCTATCTGCGCGGCATCAGCGTCCTTTCTCAGTCACCGAGCCAAGGTCTCCGGACGCCCGTTAAGTCTACTAAACGGTTTGCGGATGATGAGTCAGACGGCTGGCTTACCCCTGACCTAGGGGCAAGAAAGCGCGCGAGATATTGGCTTGGCGACAGAGACGGACTTGAAGTGGCTGCACGAGATGACGACCACGAGAAAGAGCAGAGGGGGAGTGGCATGGCAGACACTTTACCTCCTCCAAAGCGACCTCTTGTGGACGAGCATGATAACTACATCCTATCAGATGAAGATGCCAGAAGCGCCAGAAGTCGGAGCAAGAGTACAGTACGCGGGGTCAGCGAAGACATTGCTGAAGCCATGGAGGTTTAGTCTTTGCAACGTTCTCCATGGCTTGTTATGTAATGTGCCTCGCATATAGTCCCTTCTAGGAAGAAAATCTGGCCGCGGTGTACGGGTTAGGTGATCCACCTTAGTGCGCCGCTGAATTGGGCTGGCGTTTGGGGGCGGTGGGCTGTCTCCAAACCTTCCTGATTGTGTCGCCTCTTCGTTGCTGCTATATGCACCCAGGGAATGGAGTTCGGCATATTATGGAGCTTTCCGGGGCGAGCAGGGCGGGTTCTGCAGCCAAAGGAGTTTGATGTTATTGGTGTCTTTAGCCTTGATCCTTAGGATACTGACCAGCTGGACCTTGAAATAGTACTCAATGTCAGTAATAGTGAATGACACGATCGATCCATTTGTCCATTTGTTGTATTTGACAGAACAGGTTCGCTGCATGTATTGACCGGTGGTTCGATCTCGGTGCCTGAGGCAGAAATGGCTTGGCCTTAATTTTCGTTGCCGTGCGTGCTCCTTGCCATATTCCTTATATGATCACCTCCAAGCGACCTGCAATTGACTTTTCAACGTACCCAAATCATCATGGGAGAGAAGGAAGATAAGGAGAAGGCAGAGAAACTTGCAGCCGCAAAGAAACGGGTAGGTGTATAGCCCAAATATGTCCCAGACCTCTATTCATGTTCACTTATTCACGTGTTCACACCCTTCCGTTCTCACTATAGTGCTGACCCTACTGCTAGGTAGCTCAGTTGCAGAAAGCGAAGAAAAAGGCTGGTGGAGGAGCTACTAGTGGCGAGAAATCTACCAAACAGAAGAGCAAGGATGAAGAACTGAAGTCACCAGCCAAACAGTCAACCGCAGAGGACGCGCCGATTGGATCAGAAAGGCTACAGCACAACCAGCAGACAGAGCAGGATGAAGATATCCTAAAACACGATCAAGACGAGGCTACTCTTCTCGATGCCATTGCGGCGGCGCAAGCTGCTCCATCTGCGCCAGAAACCATCACCTCACCAGATCCATCTACCACAGAAGAAGGGTACCCAGATCCTTCAATAGAGGATTCAATAACAAGTCCAAAGACGAGGGGAGGCTTACATGAACGCCAGCCTTCATTATCCATCCAGTCAAAGATGCGGAGCGACTCTTTTCGGAGAACATCCGCCGCTGGACCACTATCCCCTGGCCCTACGTCTGGCTCTTTACCAGCATTGGCGCCAGATGGCGAAACCATGAACGATATATATCGCAAGCAAGCTGTACGTCTAGAAGAATTGGAAAGGGACAATAAAAGGCTCGAGAAAGAGGCGAAGGATGGAGAGGCACGCTGGAGAAGAAGCGAAGAGGAGCTTGAAGAGTTACGCGAGGCATCTGGAGAAGCTTCTGCACTTAAAACACAAGCCAAAAAAGCGGAAGAAGCACAATCCGTTATTGCGGAGCTGAAAGCTGAGATCGCTACCCTACACAGGCAGGCCCAGCAACGAGGTCATTCTCACTCAATTTCCAAGCCTATTCGATCGCCTAGCATGCCAAGTACGGGCGGTTTCACCGGATCTCCTGACAGCCTCAGGAGAGAACTAGAAAGCAAAGACTCTACAATAGCGGACATGGAGCTCGAGATTTCTAGACTGCGCAGCGAGCTGTCCACCAAGACCAGTAGCTGTGAGACTCATGGTAGTCAGATTTCCGCACTGCAGGAAACTTTAGCATCAACTCAAAACAAGTTAAGAAATGTTGAAGGAGAACTAGCAGACTCAAAGAAAGCCCTTACGAGAGCGAGCGAAAAGGCCGTCAAGGAAGGCGTAGAGAAGACTAGCTCAGCTGTAAAGATCAAAAATCTGGAGCGTGAACTTACACAGGTGTCTGCAGCTAGGGACGAGATCATGAAGAAAGCCGAAAATCTGGAAAAGAAGATCGAAACCATGAACAAGCTGCACAGAGAGGCTGAGGCAAGGAATGCCTCGAAGCTTGCGGTGGCGGAATCGCAAGGAAGAGAGGCTGGAATACTCAAGGCTCGACTCGCCGCAGCAGAGAACGAGAATCTCAAACTTCGTGAAGAAAGGGATAGACGGAAGAAGCGTGAGGTATCTGGCGCCGATGACGAGGGCCTCGACGAGCTGGAAGACGAGGAACGGGTTCGATTGGAGCGTCGTGTCCGAGAACTGGAAAGTGAGATATTTGACCTCAAGCGAGGTGTCTGGCGGGAACGGAGGCAGGAGATGCAACCAAATCCAGAATCGGTGGTCGACGATACGAGTGAATTCGATGAAGTTGACTTGTCTGGAAATGTGCCCGTAAATCAAAACCGCAATTTCACCGCGCACACATCTCAACCAAAGCATTCATCGTTCTCGACAGTCGTCAATTCGGGACTAGCTGCCTTCCGAGGTCCACCAGAGCAAACCAATCGCCCGAGAGAGGATAGCCTTCTGCAAGAGCTTGATGATGACGCTGAATTTGACGAGGAGGCATTTGCGATTGCGCAACGCGAAGAGGAGGCTAGAAAGATGGTGGAGCATGTCAGGGAGGTGAAGAGGAAGCTTCGCGATTGGGAAGGTTGGAGACTTGATCTTGTAGATGCACGGAGAAGCGCCGCCGGGACGCTTGGGGCGGGATTGGGCGAGATTTTTGAAGTATGACCCACGACTCTGCTGATAACAGAACCTTGTCGTTCTTCGTATGGGATGCCTACCTGTTCAAGGGGCCCTCAGCTCGTGTCGAGACGCACTACCGTGCTACTATGCCTTGGAGACGACAGAAGGCCATTAGATTACCGGGTGTGATCAGACACGCTGAACAGACAGAAAACACTCGCCCTGCCATGTGGAGCGCGAAGATGTCGGGAAAATGAGCTGCTATGGGCCTTGGCTCGACATCCCTCTCGGCACTCCTATATCGGTCCACAGTCCACATATACGTGAGCCGTCGATAATTACCATTCATTCCGGTTGCTCGCTCCCAATGCGACTCGCATCCCTTGCGTAAGCACTCTCTAAGAGCTCAAGTGGCTGACTTCTATCCCATTGAGGTAGAAGTTTGATAGAGCAGCCATGAGAGGAGGACATGGGAGACGAACCGGGGTAGACTGATGCCGGAATCGTGACAGGAATAAATCGAGCAATATAGGAAGAGACACAAACCCTTAGCTATGGTTATCTAGGAGAAGCTCTATCACAATACGAGCAATATCACAACCACTCGGTTACATATCTTTTCCCTGTTCCTTTCTCCTCTCAATTCTCCCCTCATTCTTCTAGCGGGGATCATTCATTGCCCAAACAGGGAACTCCGCTCGATTCGGACATATACAATTACACACAAGGGAAGCCACTCTCTCCGGGGCAGATGAAATTTCCTTTAATTAGGCATTCTACCCTTCCTTACCTGATGACATGAATCACGCAGGTCTTTTACGAAGAGACAAAGTAGCGGCAGAGCCAAACCCTATCCGTTTGATAGAATACGAACATTTTCATCCCTCTCAAAGTGAAGGTAGAATCGAGGTTCACATTGAGAATCATGCCCATCCCTCCCGGGAGTTCATTTTTTCAAAAGTTTTCACAATACCATTCATTCCAAGGATCCCGATCAATATCTGGCTCCGGTCCTACCGGCCATTCCCAGTCCTTCCACATTACACTTTTCCTTTTCGTTAAAGACAAGAAGTCCTCAAAAATGAGGCGCGGAAAACATCGTAAACCGGACAGCTTGAGCTCTTATCCTCGAGCATTGAACATGAAAACCTGAGAAAATATTTCATCCTTTCTCACATCACACAACAGCCACAGCGACAACGGCTAACCCAACGATTCCGGCAAAGGAATTGCCGTGGGCGTTAGCATTTCGGACTGCAGCGCCGGTGTATTGGGACACGGGTGGGGT